TCAAAACATCCCCATTTGTAATATTAACTTTATTTCTGGAAACTGTAATTATATGGCCAGACTTTCCCTTGTTAAACTCATTATCTTTTGCACTGTGCTATTTGGAACTACAACATTCCAGGAACTGTAACTGTAGACAAAATAACATCGACATGCATGTCATGGTTTTCGTCTGGTAGCTATAATAAATCTAGTTGAATAGTCGGATTAGTAAGAACACAGCTTCACCCAGGAGCACTTCATGGGAAAGCAGCATGTCTGCTTAACGTTGCAGGGAGCTGACATATGTGATAAGATAGCAGACTACATTGTTCAGGTTTCACGTAAATTTCAACAACAGCTGTGCTTTGGCCACTTTAAAGGGGTAATTACAGGAAGAAAGCAACAATTGTCAGTCAGACACTTGAGAATCCTGAAGACAAATCTTTCGTGTTTTGCATAGGAGGTTACAAGCACTACTAAGTTATCCTTGAAACACTCACCACAGCTCCAGTTTGACTCTCCTCCCATCCAGCAGGATCGTAGTGGTCTTGTAGTCAATCCCTGCAAAGACATAAGACAAGCGAGACAAATTGAGACAGAGCAGGATCTATCAGCAACACCCAGTCACAGTCTGTCGACACCAGGCAGTCGACACAGATGATTCTCTGAAGGGGCATCATCTAACCCGCCTGTGCATCGCAGAGCAAGCTCTCATGTCATGCGCCCACATCCAGAGCTCCTACTAGCTAGATAGCTAATCACATTTTGGATTACCCAGTTACAACTTCCTCAAGAACATAGATTTAACAGTTTCCCTTCCACTGGTCATTCAGGTTAGCCTTGATTGAGCACGGTTTTTAATGAACAGCCATTTCTGAAACCAAATGATCCAGCCGGCTGTAACCATGTGGAGAGGGCACCTAGTTCAAAGCCTGTGAGCCAGTCTGTTGTCCAGATTCACCAGCGAAACTATAACTGCTCTGCTTCATCTCCCCTGCTTAGCTGGTACATCAGTTAAACAAAATGCCTCAGCTCCTACTTACAAAGGTTGAAAGTTCAGCACAGCAGCTGCAACACCTGAGAACTTTGAAAAACCATTTAAAAAAAAAACAATTAAACTCACTAAGGACCCAAGAACTCAACTGAGCTCTTGATCAGTTAACCAGCAGCCATCAGATGAATAAACTGGAATGCCCGTAGCCCCAAAACATTAGACATTCGTTCTCCTTGTTTATTTAGACACTTGGAAGTAACCACACTGAAAAATCAGTTTCTGCAATTTTTCCTGTTTTGTTCTTTCAGTCTCCTTTTGCTTTGCAGCTGTTCTGTCTTGTCTTTAGAAAGATTTTGCATTTTAATGGCACCTCTGTTGCAAAAGCCAGAGGACTTCCCCTTGAAACACACGAAATGTTTAATGGAGAGCTACATGGCTTGACAGTGAAAATTCCATCTATGTCATAACCATCCAAAGAGGCACTTAAAGCATTCTGGTTAAATTCTAAAATAAACAGCTAGTGGTGCAACATGATATTTTTGCGTATTTTAGTAGTCAGAAAAAACACGGTGACATTTTACCAGAGAATGTGCCAGTACAACATGTGAAGATTTGCTTATTACAAGCCATCTTCCCTTAAATGTCATGTGGATCTTGTGTACGTTTTATTTCTTTGTTTCACTTACGCAAAAACCAAAGTTCCGTGAATCCCGGAAAAAATTTTCTAGCACATTTCACGCAAAAAATGTAGACAATCGTTGGGATTGCCTAAATCTTCTGCATGAAACGTGCTCGAACAAATTTCAAACGCATCAAATGAGATCTAGAATTTCTAAATGTCCCTTTGGGTAAGAAAAACAGATTTAAACTGTGTGCTCAGGCATCTGTCATGGAGAGACAGCACATGCCTAGGAATCCTTAATTAGCCAGACGCAACAGACGCTGTTAACGTCTAAGCAGAGTGAGGACTGCATTCTGCTATCGGTCCTTCAGACAGTATGTAAAAGGAAGGAAGCCAGAATCTTGAGAATCAGAACCAACTGCATAGTCACACGAATAGAGATCTCTGCTCCTTTAGCATCTCTTTAACACCCCTCCATCCTGTGAGCTCGCGCTGTAAATTGCCAGCTGGCACCCCCTGGGAGGGCTGACTGTCCAGGTCACAGTGTCATTATCCCTTCGTGATCCATCTCCACGTCGGCCCCTTGCTGGGGGCAGCAGGTGGCAGGGAGTGAGGAGGGCTGGGGGAGGCCTTCAGGGTCACTCCCCACAGTGGTCAGGCAGTGCTCCCAGCCCAGGACCGGACCGAGAAGGAGCTGGACAGCGACGTCCACACAGGCAGTCCTGTAGCCAAGGGGTAGGGCTTTGCTCTACATGTGGAACGAGCACACACTGAAGCCCTCCTGTTGCACCTGCCTTTCTTCATTCTTGGAAATTAAAATCAGCAGATAGCAGGATGATCAAAACAGCAGGATCCCAACTGATTTGCACAAGACAACGAATTTCTTCACACACTTCTGGTCTTTTCCAATGCAATGACATTTTAAGGCACTGGCGGACTGATTCATTGATGTTGTGCAGAGAAAGCGAGGACAGGAAGATTATCTCAGTATCTGCAGATTCAATTGCTGAGTGAAAGCTGACTGAAGGAACGGTTCAAAACAACGTAAAAGTCAATTAACGTTAACAGTATTGAATTAAAATACTGAAGGTCCTAGTGTTAGTACAGGAGACGCCAGGGTGTTCCATATACACAATGCAGATCTGGCTTCCACTGTGTTTGAAGGCTACACTCCGGTATAACCTCTGAGGCCTTGAGCTCGCTGTCTCACCCCTCCTGCAACAGCTCCCTGTGTGTCAGCTGCACAGTCAAGGACTGCAGCAGGCTCTGTACAACCTGCAGGAATTCTCAGCTCTAATGAAATATGGCACAACCACGAAACCTACAGGCTAAAAGAACTCGATTAATCTCCCACAAAGAGCAGAAAGAACACGGGTTCACTCAAGGCAACCCGAAAACAAACACTGCCCGCTACCCAAGGGAAGGTCTCCAATCCTGCTGAAATCCGCCAGTTATCCATTATTGATACAAAAATGCTGTTGATTAATAACCATACAACGTGGTCCTCAAGTTCAAAGCCTCCTGAACAGACCCCTCAGTCCATTTTAAATATTTATAGTTATATAAATATTTGATCTGTTCTCCCCACTCGTCAGCTAGGTAGGAGAGTGCCGATTTGTGTATCCAAATCCGAGACGTGCTGCAGGCCCTCACAGGGTTTTCCTCAAGAGATTTTCATGCTTCATGCTTGCAGTCCCTCCACTGAAGCTGCAGTGCTGGGTGAAATAAACAATATATAATAACCCTCTCTCCAGCAAGAGTAAGAGCAAGGAGAAGCAACAGCATGGATTTTGGCATTGGCTTTGACAGGGTGCCTCTTTACTGTAGCAGTCTGTTATGATGAGTCCCTTACAGTTCCCTGCCAGCCGCTGAAGCAGAACAACCCCATTACCCTGATTTTAACAAACCCCCTGTCCCTTTTTCTTTTGACTGCTCACTTAACAGGATCCCAGCTTAAAAGAGCCAAAAAGAACACCTGTCTGAACAAACAAGACTTACTTCCAGTCTCTGAAACCCTGCTTCATTTTTCCCTGCACACCGACTTCCGAGAAACTGCTGTCAAATTCAAAGGAAAGGCCAACCAAGAGGATCTACTTTTTAAAGGTGGGATACATCTTGAAGGCACGGAGATGTGGGAAGTGCTGAGTTTGGAATTATTCCTCCCTTAATAGGAAAAGTATCCTGAAACTCAAAGTGGGTATAGATTTTTGACATACAGTATAACCCACATCAAACTTCCTGACTGCAATGGCTGTGGTGGTGGAGCACTGGCTGAGTTATTTCTGTTCTCAATGGCCTGTCTGATTAATTCTCCACGCCCTCTCAGCCCCAGTGTGGTATAACTGAGCCCTGAGAGGACTACCAGGCAGCCGCCCCCCCAGTCTTCAATTACACCTCCCTCACCAGACCTGGCTGTGGTTGCTTCCTGGCCAGACCCACTTTGAACTCATTTCAGTACCAAAATCAGTTTTTTTTTTTTACTTCCATACACCGAAAGCCGTGCACAAATTTAACATGAGCCCCTTGTCTTAATGCATGGGCCGATCACACTGGAACCCATCATCCTCTTACATTTCAGCTTTGGGCAGACAGGACTGGGCAAGTTTCACCACATGCAATCAAAAACAGTAACTTACTGGCCCCGTTACCTGTCAAAGCTAGGGAAAACACAAGCTTATCCAAGTATGCAAAATGCAAAATGCTGCTGAAGATGTTTAGCCCAACTTTCCAAATGATATTAAATTAAAATAAGAAGATTTCAATTTAAAAAAAAAACATGTTCTAACGTGGCAAATTTAAACATTATACTTAAAGGATGTGCGTAGCTTAAAATAGGGCTAATAGTTTTTCAATGCCTAAAAATCTCACGTGTTCACTTCATTTGCAACTGGTGTAAAACGGAGCTGCAATGCCACAATCAACAAACAGGGACACCAGCATCTCACAGAAATCAGAATCCTCTATTTTTTCCAAGTGTCGAACATGACTAGATACAATGCACCATGCTGGTGTGAGAACCTGCATTTTGGATGTCAGCTCTCCCCTATGTAATTGATAGGTACTATTACAGCAAATAACCACCATACAAGAAGTCTGGGAGAGTGTCTCTGCACAGGCGATGGCTCCATGGCTCATGGCGTACGAAAGCAGCGGGTGTGCAAAAAGAAACTGGTCAAAATGACTTCTAGAACACAAGCAATCTTGGAGGAACTAAGATAACAGCCCTTAATGAAACTCTTCTGTTGGACTGCATGTCCTCTCTCTTTAGTTAGAACTGAAAACTGTCAGTAGTATGTGTAGGAGGTGGTATACTGCCCAGCAATGCAGTAATAAAGACAAAGTGTACGCACGGCAGAGCAGTACACCTTTGTAGTACTCACCGAACCTCTCACACCATATAATGTCAGAACACTAATGCTAAATCTTTTCCCGAAACGAACCGGCGCTCCCATGTTTATGAAACGTGGATGTATGTTCCACAATCTGCCCTGCAGCGTTATCTCACGAGCTCACGGCAAAGGTCCCTTGCGCACCAGCGGCGTGCCAACGCAAACAGACTTTCGCCCCGGCCCCTCGCGGTGCCCATCGCGCAGGCACCCTGGGGAAACTTGCAGGTGGACCTCGCACGCCAGAGGCGCGCAATGCGCAGACCCACGTTGGGCCCGCTCCCCAGTTTCGCAGGAGCGTTTGCCACCCGCGCCCACACACACCCCTCCTGGGATCGGTCACCCCAGCCGGCACACTCCTCCAGCAGAGCACCGGGCACCCACCGCTGGCCTGCGTCACTCACCGCTGCTGTACGCGTAGGGGGACTCCGCCGAGCCATCCTGAAGGCTGTCCAGGATCTCTCCCTTGCCCACGTCGCTGTCTCCCACCAGCAGGAACTTGAGGAGATAGTCGTAACTCTTTACGGGGCTCCCCTGGGTGCCCATCCTCCCTCTCATGGGTGCCGAAGATAAGTCCGGGGATCCCCACTAAACACCTGAAGACGTCTTCAAGGCAGCGGCCCTGCCTTTCTCTGGGGGGGGGGGTTTTCGTCACAGAGCGAGGGCAAGACTCAGGTATGACAAAAACTGGGGAGCCCAGCAGGTATCGCGCCTTGACTTGAAAAAAAAATCAAGGATCAAACTTCCGTTTCTGTCCTGCTTGTGCGAAGACACAAGCCAACAGGCTCCTCTCCTGGGGATGAACTCAGTGTGGACAACACGGGGGGGTGGGGGGCACTCACTGCAAACCAGCACACCAGAAGGGATTAGTGTATGACTGATATGCCGAATGGGTGAAGGTATCGGAGCCCATACGATCTGTCTTCATGCGAGTCCAACCTTCCCAGCCGAGCGCACAACCGGCGAGCTGGCTGTAATGCGGAACAACTGTGTGGGACCGCTCCCCGAAGCTCAACATCTGTTAAAAAAATAGTTAGATCCGAGCAGACCTTGCATTAAAACGCACATTTACTGCCGCTTAACAACAACAACAAAAACAAAACCTGGATAAGACATGCAGACCGCAGTCCATCAGCAATCCCCTCCCCTGAGGAGACACACGCATCTTTGTGTTGGGCAGCGATGCGCCTCTCGCAGGGCGCCTCGTCTATGGGTCCATTGTTCTCCCGTCCGGGGTTAAACTATCACAACAAAGAAGGGCTTTCAAAAAAAAAAAGACGCCGAGGAAAATGTTTCAAGAAAGATCGGCCTGAAACAACGGGGGGGGGATATCTGGTTTGACGGAAGAAATCGGGCCGCGGAAGCGGCTCTGGTGATGTCGCACCGTGGACAGAAAGAGCAAGCAAGCACGCCCTCGTGTTGGGGAGGAAAAAAAAAACACGTCTCCTTCCTGCCCTTTAAAAGATGTTAGTGTCGCTTCTCGACAGCATTTTGAGCTCATTCAAAAAATGTACTCGGCGGGGCGGGGGAGTGAAGAATACCTCGCACATCCGCAAAAAAAGGCACACGACACTTGCAGTCTGCGGCACACTGCCTGATACTGCGCGTACGGCTGGGCAGCAGCTCAGGGCTTTACGCCGTAGCACATTCACCATAAAAACACACTATTCCGGAGGGGAAAAAAAAAACTACCGAAAATAAAACCACTGTCTCTAGTTGCTGAGCAATTCCGTCGCGCCGAGAGCCGGCTTTCTTAAACTCGCGTGGAAACGGCACACCTTTCTCTGCGGGAGAAGTAGAAGCCTTCGCCTCAGCTGCCGTAGCCGCTTAGAGGCGCTCGAAGCGCGGCATCGGCGCTACTCCCACCCCGGGGTCTGAGTCCAGGCCTGAGGCAGCGGGGCTCAGGGACGACGTGCGAGCAGAGGAGATCCGCCACACCACCTCGCTCGGGGACCCTTCTCCTTCTTCTTCTCTCCGGATCGGCGCAGAATAACGTCCAACAGTCTCTGAAAGGGGCCGAGCGACGGCCAGGGTTTTTTAATTTAAACGCGATCCTGTCTCATCCAGCCTCCCTCTCGTTCACTAACCCGCGGGCAGCCATCGCGCTGTCACTGACACTGCCAGCCAGCAGCTACCGTAAGCGCTCACGGCCCGCCCCCTCTATCCCCGCCCCCCCATTGCTATTGGGCAAAGGGCGGCCGTGCTCTGTGCCGATAGGCTCACTGTGCCGTCGGTCAAACCTCTCAAAGCACGAACCCAGGCTGAAGTGTGTTTATTGCAGCGCCCTGGACTACGTCTTCTGACAAAATCTCCGAGAAGGAGTGGGGACGAATGGCAGCAGCCCGGTTCCCCCGCAAGAAAACCCAGCAATAAGATCCAGATTCAGATGATCTGCTCAATCTTCTAAGTTTTTAAATTTGAAAGGAAGACGATCATACACAGACGCCACAATCGTTTCTATCCGAGACTGGCTTCAACTAGTAACATAACTAGTAACATAAACTAGTCAAGGTCATTGTTTGAATTAAAGTATTACTTTCGCCTAAGGGAGATGCAGTTTTCACTGGCATTTGTTTTGAATAGAAACTGCCCCATCACCACCCAGAGGAGGAGTGTTGTAGACGTGTTTTACCTTCACAATTGCATAACCTCTCAGTCATTTTGAAAGTGGAACATTAATACGGGCTTACACTAATACTTTTCTAAATGCATTACCAACCGTGATAAAAAAAAGAACAAGAAAAGGTTATAAAGAACTCAAAAAACCAATTCCTTGGTTATTCAGCCTTACTGGATTTTTTATTAAACCCTAAGCTATTTTTAGAAATTCGCTTTAATATAATTTATGTAATGCAATTGTGTGTGCCATTACACGTTCTTGGCTAGAGAATCTCCTCACGTCACTTTGCAATCTGCTGTAAATTTAATAGATCCGAAGTGTTGAGTTACGTTGCTCAAACTTTATCCTATAAACTACATTTACACAATCAATTCCGCGAGCTGTATATGTCAGCCCAGGGCAAGACAGACAAATCTCTGCTGAAAAATGTCAGGAGAAAAGAATAGGTGAGACCTTGTAGTTGTTTTTTCTACCATTATTGTTACTGTTAAATTAGCTTCAGGTGAGATACAGCAGAGTGTTAAAGTAAGTTATTTGTGCAAGTCAAAATATCAACGAGATTCAAAATTAACTACAATTCTTTTAAAAATGAGAACCCTGGATAACACTGTTACAATCGTGATATTCAGCAGTAAATGTTCGAATGTTTTATTGGTTGTGTTGTTAATTTGATCCAGCGTGATAAATGTTGTTAAAACATTTCACAGGTCTTCTGAAATCGTCCTGCCTTGAAGGTTTTAGGCAAGATGTCTAGCAAATTAAATAATTAGTCACAGATGTGAACATTTTTTTCTTTGCCTCCAGAGATTTCTGTATATATTACAGTATATGGTTTTTGCTCTATAACCGCAAATGCTTTGTTAAAAATTCTCAGTCATAGATATCTCTCTCTCTAAAGAGACTGAAACCTCTTTCATGAATTTAAAACATCTTCTGGCTGCAGACGTTTCAAGCACCACAATGCAGAAGAGTATCAATACTGTGTAGTGCTGTAGATATATAATAAATGAATAGAATTATGTACATATTAATAAAGAAAAAAACTGTGTTAATCTTTGCATGCAAATACAAATATCAAAACTTCACACCTGAGAAGCATTCCCAAATGACACTGGGGGCCAGGCCTGTATTGTATTAAGCACTAACATATTCCAGCCTCAGGGTTACTTATTCAGATTAGTCTGTGTGGTCGATGATAAAATATCTGTGGAGCCGTCATCCGGACAGTCCCTTCAGAGCTGGGATGAAACTGCACGGAACATTGACGCGGCTATTGTAGGCAGATAAATACGTAGAGAGTCATAGTTTCTTATCTGCCTTTTATTTGTGATATTTTAGATTACGTCTGTGTCACTGTGAGACCTTTCTAAGTGGATACTACCTGCATCTGGGAGGCTGCTGTCGGTTTCCATCATTTCTGCATTGTCAGCCTCTCATGCCTGTGCTGTGTGTCCCTTCCCAGAGTTCCCCTGCCCCATCAGCCCAGGTGAGGGCTGTCCTCAAACAGCTCCACTGTCCTGAAGACAGATGACTGATAGAACATAATTTATTGCAAAACGTCTTTCTTTTCTACCTGATACTTGCTCGTGGTAGCACAGGCACGCCCTGTTTTGTTATGCACAGTACATTTTCCTTCTTTCGGTGCTTCTTCTTCTGTTATACAACGGTGTGACCTCACCAGCCCGGGTGAGGTCAGGCCGGGGTGGGGGGGAGTGTGGCTGACAATGCGAGGCTGGGTCACTCTACATCCCATCCTCAGGCCCTGCCGACTCAGCACTAACGCTAACACTAACGCCCGCTCCGTGGCTCTGTGCCTGGGGCTCTGCTCTCCCTTTCTCTTGGTGAATAATGGATGAGCCGGTGAAAGGCAGGGTACTATTAGACAGAGCAGCAGGGATATGAATGCATTTACGGCCAGGCCTGTGACACACACACACACATACACACACAAGCATTTCTCCGGCATGCAAGGGAAACGAGACAGGAACTACAGAACTGCACATGTGTGTCTGGGGATCTAAGCTGGGACTGGTTGTGTCAATAGACTGTGTGTGTCGTCCTACCTGTCAGCTCCCGATTCTGGAAATGTTTAAGATGAGACACAAAGACAGGGAGAGAAGCTGGGGGTCAGAGCGCAGGGTCAGCCATCTATACGGCGCCGCTGGAGCAGTTGGGGTGAAGGGCCTTGCTCAGGGGCCCAACGGAGTAAGATTCCTCTGATGGTCGCTTGATTCGAACCGGCAACCTTCCAGCCACAGGCGCAGATCCTTACTAGATTACATGCACTATGTAATGTTATGCAACTGATTAAGATTGATAATTGCAGTACATTTTTGCTTTCCAATGAACTGACCTCATCTGGTAAGCCACGAGATTAATGCACAGTCCTCCTGAACAGGATTGCTGTACCAGGCTCTGATCAATAGTAAGTGGCTTTCAACAATAATGGAGTTTTCACATAAAATGACTTACTGGCTTTAGGGGTTGTATCTGCAAAGCTATCTTAATCCAGGGGTTTAATTGCCTAAGAAGAAAGAAAATAAATTTGACAAATTACCTCCAAAAAAAAAAACCCCACTGGCAAAATACATCAACATTCAAATTTCATTAGGAGGCCACAGAGTTGGTCTAATATATAACATCGTTATCCTGACAGATTGAGACACGTTACCAGAAACCACAGGGCAGCTCAGCTTTCCAGCCTGGACCATAACAAAGTGGGGCTTCTCCACGGGCCAGCAATTCATTTTCACCTTGCTTTCCTCTGCACGAGGATCTCCAAGCTTAAAAAATGAGACGAAACAATGCAAGCATGCCAGAAGAGCATGTTGTCTCAACAAAGAAACAACTCCTTCTCCCCCTCCTCTTGTTATGTATGGAGGAGGGCAGATGCTATCTGGCCCAGCGGGGTGGAACACAGAAAGATATGGGGTACCTTTTGCCTACAGCTTGAGCTTGAAAGTGCTGAAGAGATACTCTTTCCTAGCTTCTCTTAGAGCAGACAGCAGCTGTGGAGTGCCTCTGGTCCGGCATTGCCAGAATGCAATGCATTTTCCAGGAGGTACCCAGACACCCAGGCTGAGCTTAGGAAACCTTGCAGGGTCATCCATGTGCTGACTTGGTTTGACTCCAAGGAAGTCAGGGCCAGGACTAGTGGAGAGAATGGGAGTTATTGTCTGTTAAAATAAAGCTGGGGACCAGCTTCAAAGGTGCTTCAAACCCTGCACAGAATCAGGCTACCTCTATCAGACAGAGCACCTCCACTAAAGCTTTGGAGATCTCCCACTGTCCTGCTAACTCTAAAACTGCAACCTTGCACTGATTGTGAATTTTAGAATGGGTTAAATTTAGATCTGCTTTTGGGGTGTCCATAATTTTACTATACTTTAGGGGGAGGGTGTCACGCAAATGATTATTAAAATTAGAGAACAGTCTAAAATATCTGAATTTTAGCAATTAAGAATATTAAAAAAGACAGTGGCAAGATTTACTGACCTTGGTTTACTTGCCTGTGGTGAAATGCACCTGATTTAAATGCAATCCCAGATGACCTCAGTGATTTTTTTACTTTCAACCAATACTGGAGCAATCATCTGCACAAGACAACTGTTTAACTCTACTAACGAGCATACCCTCATCCTGTCTGTGTAGGGAATCAGCAGTAAAGACAGTGAAACAACACGCTCCACATCACCCCTGCTGCTCTGGCTATACAGGGGCATGAACCAGTAATTCCTCCATCAGATCCTCCAGTGCCTGGACCAGGAACTTCCTACTACACAGTGCTCTTGCGATGTCTGTCTCATAGGGAACGTAGGAATAGAGTGAAAGCATTCAGTATAATTCAAATATGTCTGAAAATCAAATGTGAATACACTAGTAGCACAAGAACAACCCTGTACATTGCCTTATCATACCCTCTTAGGTGTTCAGTAAGGCAGAATCCTTTGCTGGCTTCCAACAACTTTATCTTGTGTTCTGCCAGAACTGACCCAGCGTATTGATTGCACTTAATGCATTTCTGTCCTCTTTGTTGATCGATTGCAATTAATCCCCCCCCCCACCCCCCATCAGTCCCTGTCTCTTCTGCTTCCTTCCTGCCATCCCTGCCTGCCAGTGTTTATGTGCTTCTGACCAGTCCCACCAGCCTCTCCAGCGCCCTCTGCTGCCTGCTGCAAGAACCACACCAGACAGGACAGCACACTGGGGAGCAGACAATCTGGGGGTTCATTCTCTTATGATAATAAGTCCTTACCCATCTGGCAAACTGATTCTTCAACGATCATTGTGCAGCTGTCCAGTTCCGCGTGATGATGATAGACATCTACAAAGAGCCGAGTTCACAGTGACTCCGAGCGGAGACATCCGACAGCAACTTCAAAACAGGAACTCGTCTCGGATGAGGATGTCAGAAGCATGATGACATTTATTCAACTGTAATTGCAAAAACCAAAAGAAGAGAAAAGAGAGAAGAAGATTTGTGAAACCGTCATCATATTACACATTTTGCAGAAATATCTACAACACAGCTCTGGTTTCCATTCATTCACTGTTTTAGTAACATTTTTATGCTTAGAGGGAACAAGGGTGAGCTCTTGTTCATTCACATCTGCGTATAATAAATATAAGTATATGCATTATACTATAACATACTATAATATAGTGTAAGGTATAATATATGTTTAAGGTTTAAGGTTTCTGGAAACACAGTACTCTGCATCCTAGACTGAGCAAGTTTGAAATATTCTGTTTGAAAACGTGGGCGATAATGATAACTCTGTGGGGGCTTAATAAAGGGATAAGGAGAGACCGTGCATTTTTAAAGTGGGGCAGTCTCCCTGACTCTTCCCTGGGTAATTAATCCCAGAGCAAAGGCATCGCCTCTGCATGCTCCGCAGCAGATCTCCCAGGCCTGTGTATCCACAGCCCTGCCATTTGCACTCCAATGATCACCTGCTGACAGCTCAGGCCTCTCTGCCAGCAGCCGCGCGGAATAATTACTCATGTTGTTCTGGGGTCCTGCACGCATGCAATTTATGCAAGCCTCGTTTTGCTTCCTAGTTGCGTTTGCCGGGATATAATCTCTACGCCCCCCTGTAAATGCGTTAACAGATACAGTAGGAAAATGGGACCGGTGGTGGACACTAGGGACAGGTCAGGGGGGGAAACCGAACAGATCGCCAGGCAAACGCCGCAAGGGTGTTCTTTTGTGCTCGCTCGGAGGAACGAGGGGGTCCCTCGGGAGAGGAGGGCCATCTGGATGGAGCACAGCGCTCTATGGGCCCCCCGCTGACATGCACGCGCACACACACACACACTGCACCTCACGGGCCGCGACAGACTGCGCGGAGGGAGGATCGCTCACATGCGCCCCCCCGGCTCCCTGGCAGCAGACACCAAGCCATTCCACCTCATTATACTGCTCATTCTGCCACACAAAGGCGGCAGGCACAACGCAGGAAACCAGCGGCGGTCCAGAACCGCAGGACGCCCCTGAAATGAGCTGTGCCAGAGGGGCGCCTTCAGCTATACCAGGGTCTGCTCTGCCTGCTGTAATTAACACAAGAATCTCTTCATGAACTCTAAAGGACAAACACACACTAGCAAAACGAATCCTGCATGTATAGTGGAGCGAAAAGGCTGAAGTTGTCGAACAGCACTGAGCGATTGGAGCTATGACCTGGAATCTGCACAGGGGATTTATAGAAGCCGAAGAGGCAAAGTGATCATGGACACCGGTGCTGCTGTTTTCAGGCAACTGCAGTTTGTCCTTTCGGCCTCGCTGCAGGTACTGAGGTCAATGAAAGCCCTCTACACAGACAAAGCGCTTCAGAAAATAACACCACACCAGTCAATATCCAAACGAGAAGGCGGTGTGTAAACTCCCTGTGCCCTCTCTGCAAGGAGATCCTGCTGTGTGCGCCGCCTCTGGGATGCTGGGGGACACGCGTAGCTCAGGCCGCACATGTCTGCCGAGAGCTGAGAGTGGTCACACAGGCCGTCCTGTGGAAGCAGTGACAGGCTGTGCAGGGTCAGTTATTGGCAGGTGCAGACACCCACCCATTTTGGAAAGACAGGGGCTATATGCTATAATGAACTGGGGTGTGTATGCAAACTCCATAGGACACATTAACATTTATGTTTTAAGGTAGATCTCCGAGATACCACCCTGCAAAGTACCTACAAGTCTAAAAACCCAATTGGAAATATTACTGCAAACTAGTACCACCCCAATAATAATAAACAGCCAACATGGTACAGTTGCAGCACTGGTTAAAGAAAAAACTGCAGTAACATACTGTAATAGTGCAAAAAAAATTTATTAAAAGTTTTAGAGAGGTCAATTAGTCATACAGACACCACACATAATCTAAAATGACACAAGCAAATGTAGCATAAAATCATTTCCTTACAAAATACAAAAACCCCTTAGGAATGTATATAAAATCTTAAATCTGTTTGTGGTATGGTTTCACGGTCTCTAAGAGTGGCAAAACATTGGATTTTTCTTCTACAAAGCAGAATATATATATTTTTTATACATAGATGTCTTGGCAATAAAAGAAACACACACAACAGAAAGTGATCTGGGACAGCTCAGCAGGACATACACAGCAGAACAAAAATGTAAAGGTAACTTGCATTTTAAACCTAAATAAAGTTTAAAATGCAACAATATAAATTATGCTATGAACACTAATATTAAAAATAATGTTTGCAGCAATTTATAGCAATTAAAATTCAGCATGTTGTGCTACCGAAACAGCAGCTAAAAAGACATAAGGTTAATCAAAATTGATCTGAATACTCTGTCAAAATAAGATGCAGTTTGAATTTATCAAGACATTTTATAGCTGCAAGGCTTCTGTTTCTAGTGGTCATCCTTGAAAGATCACAATCAGGTGCCCAACGGTACACTTGAAACTTCCTGGAGCTCCACTCTGAACAAAATGGGCCTTTTAAAGTCTACATCTAGAGCAACTTGTGATGTTTTGACACATTGTGATCCACAGAAACAAGCTGTGCTACTATACTAAACACTAAACTCTATCTGTGGGTTCAATAAATATGGAATGCATTGCAAGTTACTGGTTTAGCAGAATATTCCGTTTAACAATATTTAAAACAAAAGATGGTCAATATTGTAAGAGAAATTGTGAAAATAAAACACTGTACGGCAATGCTTCTTGTACAGGCTGTACTGCTGGGTTTGCAAAATACTTACCTGAAAGAAACAGACACTAACTTCACTTTTGAAAGACAATGCAGAAGCTCTCAAATATTTGGCATGGTCCTCGGTTTTTTTTTAAACTTAAAGCTGCCTTGAAAAGTACCATTACAGTGCCTTCTTACAGAGAGGAAGAGAATCCTGTGAACCCCTACATGAATCAAGCAGCTTTTCGCTTGAGAGCTGCTTTGGGAGGTGGGATCCAAGCAGAAGATCTGCCTTGCTTGTGGGCACAGGGACTGGAGACATCACTGCAGGCCCAGAGTGATCGCCATCCCTTCCCCCGGGGGATCAGTCTGCCTTAGTGCTCTTGTGCCTCCAAGGGTAGATGAGCTCTCCAATGAACAGCTTCTTGCACAGCGCGCCCCAGGAGTCCTTGGGGTAGCAGCTATATGTGGGCGTCCTGTACCACTGCAGCACTGCACTGTACTTCAGGGGATTGATCTGGGAACGCACACAGAGAGCAGGGACACGCGCTGTGAGCTCTGCATCTGGCGTGCTTGAAGAAACGCACGACAGCACGCGGCCGCGAGCGCAGACTGTACCTCCATCAGAAGATGTAACGGTCTGCCCGGCTCCTTCTGCAGCACCCTGAACTTCACGCCAGCTGCAGCACACAGAAGGACACGGTTGGGTTCATTTCCAGTCGGGTACCAGCTGCCACGGTACAAGCTATATCTTCTTCTTCACTTGCACTGCTCCCAGCCCAGATGCTACCCAGGACCCTTGTCAGCCACAGATTCATAACACATTGATGATGGTGTCCTGATCTACAACAGTGCTTCCCAGCCCTGGTCCTGGAGGAACACCACCTGAGCTCTGCTTCTCCAGTGCTAACTGATGGATTCATGAATCAAACATGTTTCAAGATGAATTAACAAACCAAGCTAGGGGTTCTCCCTGGATGAACACAAAAGATTATATTAAAATATATTTTGCTAGTAAACACTTGCTTAGAACTGAGTTTCTGCCAAATGTTCTAATCTCTGGAATGCCTACTTTGCAAGTATGGTGGCCAGTCCATTTATCTTTGGTGCTCATTACCTGCTAATCTATAAGGTCTGCAAAGCCGGAGCCCCATGGCAAACAGAGGGAAGGAATTGATGAAGTCGACACTGAGGTGAATCAGGCCCTGGAACAGGACAACCAGCAGCCGGAGCTACAGGAAGAGAGAGGAGGACAAAACAGCAGCTGAGCGAGTCCTGTACTCTCTGGTAGATTCACGCACGCACGTTTAAAATAAACATTTACAACAGTGCTCATTTAAACTACATATGCATATTGAACTACGTCACTACACATGTTTTATTTCCGTTGCCGGATGAATTTGAAGTACAGGAAGAGAAGAAATATATTATTCTCTGTAATAAATAATGTAATAAAGTCAGAGTGGAGTGCATCTGAAGGCACGAGTGGGCCAGTAACGGCGGGGGTCAATATGTGCTTCGGATTGCTGCTGCTCGCAGAGGAAATAGCACAGGCGCTATCCATGCACGCAGCACTCTGGTCCACAAAGAGCAAATACACTCCATTTCTAATGCAAGCTCTACAGCCGGCTTTCTCTGCCCCCTTGCAGGACTCTTCCCTTCCCCTCTGGTGCAGAGGGCAGACGCAGGGCACAGCGCAGCTCGGAGCCGCTCACCAGAGTGAACACCAGGTAATACAGCGCAGTGGTGGGCAGCAGGAACAGCAGGATGGTGAACAGCAGAGTCCCGATGAACAGCTGCAGAAAAGCAAGACAGCGTCTTTTTGGAGAGGCAGAAACAACAACCCCATTTTGATGCGATGTGCGAGAATCATCGAATATTTTGGTTTCAGATGGGTTTTTCTTTTTTAGTAAAACAAGACGGACAGCTAGCGCCTTAAACATTAGCAGAGAATCAACTCATTTGAATTGAGAACCAATTTTTCCATGGAGGTCCGTGCGCTGAGGGGAGGAAAGATGCTGGCCAGGGCTGACGCTGACTATTTGTCTTGGGGTTCCAGCTCCCCCTGCGGGGGCCAGAAAGCACGGAGTTTTACGCTGCCAGCTACCAGTGGATTCTGCTTTGACAACGTGGAGGAGTTCAAGGCCGCCCAGGGGAGGGATGTCTGCAGCTCACCTGGTCCAGGTCGTAGGAGCAGGAGTCCACCCTCTGCCTCAGCATGTTCCACTTCTTCCCCCGGAACAGCCGCCACAGGGAGGACAGACCATAGATCTTCAGGCAGTACAGCCTGGGGCCAGGAGACAGGAGCAGGCTCAGCAAACCACGCGGGCAATTCACAGGAAAGAGCAGCGATAATCTACTAACAGGACGGCAAGCGCTTTCCTTGAAGTCATTTTCTTTAGCGCAGATCACTGCTGGAGCTGGGGTTTGGTATTTTAAATGTTGGGAGCACACTGATTGCAGGGCATCCACCATGAAGCTCCACACACTTCCTCCACACCAGGTTCTAATGGCTGTGTGAGGGCCTGCACTAGACACATACAGAAACATGGGAAAAAGGGCTCTAAAACTGGTTCAGAAAATAATGATCATTGGCAAGTCCTCATTCTGTAGTCTCATGTGTGAAGAGAAAGAGAAGAACCAGACCTCGCTGCTGGGAGGGGTGGCTCTGTGGTTAAGGATCTGCGCCTGTGGCCAAAGGGTTGCCGGTTCGTATCCCGCGGCCGGCAGAGGAATCCTACTCCGTTGGGCCCCTGAGCAAGGCCCTTAACTCCAACTGCTCCAGGGGCGCCGTATAAATGGCTGACCCTGCGCTCTGATCCCCAGCTTCTCTCCCTGTCTGTGTGTCTCATGGAGAGCAAGTTGGTGTAAGCGAAAAAAAGACAAATTCCTAATATCAGAAGTTGGATATGGCCAATAAAGTGATCTTAATCTCTTACAATCTTGTGCGTCACACAGTGTACACCGTCTGAAGGTGTGTTCTGGAATTCGAAGTGTCTGCAGCTCCAGGGTAAACTCCTTTAACAAAACGTGCTCATTGTTCTCCAACATTCCCAGTACCGCATGAGATGAATGAATAAAATGTTCCCTTTAGCAAATGGTCACATTTCAAAAACAGGTCTCGCTTCCTTTCCGGTGTAATGTGCCCTATAAAGAGGGAGGGGCAGGGCGGTGAAGACCTCATCTGGCATGCCTCGCACATACGAGACGGGGTGAAACCAGGGAGGAACCTCGGCAGTGTAATAGAGATCTGCCCTCTCCAGTTCAGAGCAAAAGGTCAGGTGTTTCAAACCACAGCGACACAGCAGTCACCTCCAAAGTGAAAGGACAGATGGACCAACAAGATACAGAAGTCAGGGTTCAAGGTGCACAGCCTATATGTCTACAGCCGGGAACTCTCTGATAGTGTGTACGTATGTGCATCTACTAGTCCTGTCTTAAAAGCAAATCTGAGAAAAGAGCAAGTGCTTATTGGACACTGTACCCTGCCCTCTACAGGGGAGATACTTACTGTCAAAGAAAAAACACCAGCAATAGGAGTTCACAAGCCAATTCTTTCTAAATGTTTTAGGTGAAGAACCAATAAAGATGAAAGACAAAGACAAGACCAGTTTAAGTTTATATCTGAGAAGGTTTCCTCTTGAAGCAAACGGACCCTCGTCAAGGGGGTTGTAAGAAGTGCAGTGGAAGCTCTTCTGATGGACCTGCCTGTACAGGTGGTGGTGACCTACCTGGCTCCATAGACATAGAAACAGTAGATGTGGAAGGTGAGCAGGGCCACGATGTCGGAGAAGACTGACAGGGCAAAGGTCAGCCCCAGGCAAGCAGACAGGCCCACGTACCACAGGATCATTTCAATGAACGGGGACATCAGGTGGATATAGCCTGCAAGGTAATTAATCTGATCAGCGGAACAATCAATCACTTAAAGAGCTGTAAAAAGTTAAGGACAATTATAACAATACAGACATTGCATCTACACAGAAACTATGCAAAAACTATTTTGCTGTCTCTTTCTCTACATTAACAAATTGCACAGCCACTCAACTTCATTACAGACCACTGGGCTATCATAATACAACAACACTACTAATTGAAGCAAATGTTTTAATGATAGTGATCCCATTTATACGATAAGTTTGGGAAAGATGTCTGCTGGACTAAAATCCAGTGGCTGCACAACACAGATGCCCAACATACTTAACTGGGCCCGGCACACCAGCCCAGCTCTGTCACTCACTGATCCACAGGTGGATGTGGTACAGGAAGAACCGGCCCAGCACCTGGTCCAGGGCCCGGTTCATCTTCAGCCCCGCCGGGGCTCCCATCAGCCACTGCAGCAGCTCCTGCAGCTCCTTGGCCACGTGCTGCAACACAACCGACACCAGGCGGTGAGAACAGGCCCAGTCCGGGAGAGAACATCTCTAATTCCACACTAATCCGCAGTCCGCTGACAGCCAGAATAACTAGACTAGACCATGAAGTGCCTAAAAGTTCCAGGCAGGACTATCAAGTCCCATTACAAATAATTACAGTTAGGACAAGTGTGAACACCTACAGATGGACTTCCATTGGCGTCAACTGGATTCTATGGGAACTATTTCAATCACTGAGTTAGAGGTGCTTCCAGGGAAATAAAAATGAGAAAAGACTCTGTATGCCATACAGATATGGCTGAAACAGTGCCTGATTCAGGGCCTTGTCACGCAGTGTTATTCTGTTGCGCGCTTTGAGCTTACATCGGCCGCGGGAACGAGAGCGTTGGCGAGGCGACCGATTCGGTTCTCTCTGTACAGCCAGGAGACGAGCAGCAGCCCCAGCACCACGTCCACCAGGAAGGACACGAAGATGTTGGCCTTTCTAAAGGAGAAGAGCACAACCTTTAGGCAGCGACCGAACCATCCGAGGCGAGTCAGAAGGACTCAGGACCTGAGCGCGAGACTCCTGGGTTGGAGGAAGACGCACGCTAACCAGTGGCCCAGAGGGAGAGGACACAGGAGTTACCTCATGAACGCCATGTGGTCCACAGCCTTCCTGGGAGAGCTGACAGTCTGTAGGTGCTCTGTCCGGTGGCCGACCTGGATACAGGTGGACAGCTTACTGGACACAAAGTGCGCCGGCCACAAGTTCAGCAGCCTGTGTGAGAGAAGAAGCATGGAACACTTTTGGTGTGCTCTGCATTTGTATATATATGTATTTCTTCAGATTTCCACCTATGGGATGAGCTGCTGGCACACAGATGCCCCAAGAAAGGGACCTAAGGTCTTTGCGGTTTTTCTAAACATCCTCTTACTTGGCCAGATGCCGTGCAAGAGCCAGCGGACCAGGGAAGAGGGTACAGTGGAGAACGTGCTCCAGCTGTCTGCTCTCGTCCGCTGGGAGATCCTCACCTGCAACGGCACCCCCTGGTCCACAGAGACAGGAGCCAGCTCAGCAGCAGGCACAGCGGGACGGAGGCTTGCTTGCAGAGCTCCACGATGATGCTGGCCTCCCTGCCCTCGGACTGCCAGTGCGTCAGCCTCAGGGGGCCGCTGTCATACCTGTCCGCGCGGAAGAGGGCCTGGCTCCGCGCCACGGTCTGGAAGACCAGCCGCAGCTCGGACGCCTCGGCCTGGGGGGCCAGCTCGGGGCCCCGGGCCGGGTGGAGCTGAGACAGCATGACCTTGCGCTGGTCGTAGTGGATGAAGGTGACCCCGTCGCCGCCCGCCGCCTCTCGCCCGGACCCGCCGGCTCCCGGGCTGAGCTGGCAGCTGAACCCCCCCCCGCCCCTCTGGCGGCTCAGCTGCAGCCAGCGGCCCTGGGGGAAGATGGTGCGGAGGTCCTGCAGGAAGCTCTCCAGCCCCTCCTGGCCCTCCTGGGGCTGGCTCCAGGACCCCAGCACGGTCAGCTCCACCCGGGTCTCGCTCTGCAGCTGGCTCAGGTACTTCTTCACCTGGCCCGGGATGAAGGGGTAGTGGATCAGCGCCAGCACCACCGCCGAGTCGTGCTCCGGCAGCCAGCGCCCGACGAGAAGCCCGCTGTCGCCCGCGTTGCAGCACCGCGGGAAAAACACCTTCAGCACCATGGCGGCCGGAGCTCTCCGGAACGACGGGACGAGCGTTATCGACAAGCCTCTTCTGGGGAGAAACGGATACGGCCGGGGTTATCCGAAAGAAACTCGGGAAAGCTCACCTCAACGATGGTCATCAAGAGCTTAGCAACCGGCCATACGGACGATCACTGCTGTTCATACAAACCTCATGGAAAAGCCATTAAACTTCATTAATAAACCCACGGTCTCGGTCTTATGGTTGCTAATATCCATCTATTTAAACATCTATAAAGTCCTTAGAAGAGCCCTGAAATATTTTATAACAGTAAATGCAAACAGTTATTAGTTTTAGCCATTCCTTAAGTAATGATCTGAGATGGCGCCACCAAAGCCTACATCGCCCTCAACTGTGGTTTCTGTGGTGGACCATTACATCGGCTCTGGGCTTACACGACTGGGCTGTTTTTCCTCTGCTTGGTGTTGGATAGAGCACCCTGTGTCAGTTAATGCCCTCACGCGTTCTTCACAAGAACCCGTTTATTCGACATTCGAGAAAAACATACTTAAGTCATTAAGGTAGAAATACTACTTCAAGTAGTTCAGGTGGGGAGCTGCGTCAGCATGCGTAGGCTGCAAAGGACCAAGTAATAGGTTTATTCCATGCTGAAAAGAGAAGAAAGAAAACACAACGTTTCGGCCGTTTCACTCCTGAAGAAGGCTCCACGGCCGAAACGTTGGGTTTTCTCTCTTCTCTATTCAGCCTAGAATAAACCTATTACTTGTTCCAATACTACTACACTCTCACTGTGTCTATTGATAAAATCCATACGCATTAGCTCACTTTAAGCACTTTTTGCTCATGAAAGTTAACCAGAGATCGAAGTAGCCCTTCCGGATCTGACGAACAGGTTCACAGAGGGGCTGTCCGCCCCTTTTGTCCTTGGGAAGCCGACCTCGACCCGCAATTCCTTAGAAACCTGCTTTCACGGCATGCTCTTTGAAGATCATATTTCTGCCTTCAATTAGCTCACAGATTTGCTCAGAAGTACATACAGCCAAGCACGAAGGTCGAAGAAGATAAAAAAGAAAATAGAAAATGCTTAGCTGTTCAACTAAACAGTAGCTAAACGTGAAGTCTACATTTTAATCGTTACTTATACTTTGTGTACCACAACTTCACACTTTATCATCTTAAACCTATCTAACTGAAATAAATAGTGCTTTTTACATGAACACAACAAATGGGGAAGATAATTAGCAGGCACAGAACAGACTTACTGTGTGCTTTTGACCTTCCGAATATCTTAGTCTGAGGACTTTGCTGGGCACGACCGCTGTTTCCAAATTGGTTTCATGATGGTGAGATAGGAGTGTCTGTATCTTGTAAGTGCATGGAATAATTTAAATGGAATAATAAATTATGTCGAACCCACTTAATACAGTGCTTCAGTTTGTTGCAGACTGCCACATTCACTGTAAGTACGATAGCTGTCCGTCGCTGTTACAAGTCCCGTTTGACTCCTATTTCCCACCCGAATTCGTGAAGCAACACGCCACAATATCACCTTGGGGGGCGGGGGTGGGTGTGGTCTCAGTGATAAGAAACGCCCATATCTGTGGTGCGGCTTTCTGTAGCGGGGTATTAGGATTGGAAAGAGGCAGGACAGCCTAGTGTGCCCTAGGATGAGTGTGCCATTTTGAATAAAATGAGAAATTATGTCCTTCTGCTATCCTCCGATGCCCACCAGAGTCGTTTTTAGTCGCTGAAGCCTTGCTTCCGCTTCTCCTGCTCTGTGACCAATCATTATCGGCCATGGGAGGAACACATTTTAAACCCCGCCCACAGCCCTTGTCGCTTCACCATTTCGGGTAGTAATAACCGGCCCCGACGCGGCTCTTAGCACTTCCCCCGGCGTGCAGCACACTTATTCGTCCCCCGGCGAATATGACACACAGCTACAATAGATCCGGCAGAATCTATTGTAGAGAAAGCAGACAGGTTCCAGTTCGTTCTTTTGTGCCGCCATGAAGTACAGTAATACTGTAAGACCATGTCATTTAAAACAATAATGACGAGAATTAAAATGATGGTAATTAATAGGGATAGAAATCCATAAATTATATGGTTGTAAGGAATAAGATCATGTTTAAAATGTAAAACCAGCCGGCTGACCCCTGACTTTTACACTTCATTTTAAGATGACAAGCTTTAAGTATCTGGTTTTAATATTTAAGTTATTTTTTTAAGTCCATGATCGGTATATATTTAATCTATACAAATAGCGTTATTTTTTTGTAAACCGACGACAGACCTTCGAAGCTGGCGGTGGTTGGGTGAATTGAATGCTTTTAAATGGTCCAGGGCTGCACCACAGCCCTTTCAGCTGCGCGCTGTCCCTTTCCTCCTCCGTTCTGCATTTTTCTGGCTACAAACGCAGTCACCCACGCCAACCCTGTCTCGCCTCCAAGGTTACTGCAGCGCGCTTCCTAAAGGAGCAGGGCTCCAGACTTGCTCGCTCGCTTGCCCTGGTTTTCCAAGCCTCCCGGGCCAGAGAGGCAGGGGTCAGGGCCGTTGGCAGAGGAGAGACGCCCGGGTACTCACCGCCGTGCTGTCTGGCTGCTGTCTGCGCCTGTCGCAGGGCCCGGGTGCGGGTAGCTCGGCGACTCCGCAAGAGCAAGAGCGGGCTGGCTGAGCGCTACAGACTACAGGAGTCGATAACACACGACAAGCCCGATACACGTGATGGAAAAAGTCTGGATCGCTGCGTTTATTGCCCGCGTTAAACACCAAAATCTTTTAAGCCCCAGAAAATGACTGCCCCCCTCCCCTCCCCCGTGCGGTTCTACCCAGCATACGGTCTTGTGCTTTTTTCATGTTTCATTTTGTAAGGTGTTTTTAATTTTAATATTGATCGTAATGATGATCACACCAAACGGTTACTGAACTATCTGCCAGCAGGCGTTTGGTCACAGTTCAGTGACAATGTGCGGGTGTGATACCACGGTCTGCCGGCCTTATCAGGCACCAAACACAGCGCCAGACAGAGCCCTGGTATCTCCGGGACCGTGAGGTCTCACTGCACGGCTGTTTTAAACGCGGTCTGACGCCAGTACGAATTACAGTGAGATGGGGGGTTTTGCAAAGTGGTACTAAATGATAAGTTATAAACGGCACCAGGGCGCCGCAGTTGCTGTAGAGTACAGAGTCAAAAAAGTCTTATCTATCTAGAAGCAAGAGACGAAGAGAAAAATGTGTTCTGTCCCTACAAAAGGAAAACGTAATAAGGTAACTAAAAGTAAAATAGTATATTTTGTAAAATAAAAAGCAGCAGATTTTGTAAAAACATTAAAAGAAGTCCGCCTGCACAGCTTCTGTAACATCAGTAAATCACAGATAGAGCTATTCATTTCCTCAAACCGCTATGTCTATTAAGCCTCATTAATATTGTTTATTGCTTGTTTTCAATTGGTTTCGCTTTATTTTGATTAAAGCCAGTTCATGACAGAGTACAATTTAACAGAACTGATTTGCAGTACACGGTATTACTTAGCCCAGTTCTACGTTAAAGACATTTATAATGTAATTTCTCTTGCATTAAAAGGTTCGGTTCCCCTTACTGACCTATCAGGTATACTAAAAAGAAAAAAAGTTCAAATCAATGCAAAAATGGTGATCATGTGATTTGTTTATTTTCCTTAAAAAAAGGAAACGTTAATAAAAAAGGGCAATGATTGTGTTTTTATAAAAGTTGCGCTACCCAAATAAAAACTACACTTACCAGACTGCTTGGGGAAAAAAAGACTACAAACCCGCAGTGGGTTATGGGTGAAAAAAACGTGCCGTGGACATGGTCTGTTTTTCTTCCTCGAGATGTGGTTGTCTGTGCGACTGTCATTGCACATTTGTACAGTATGCATGTGCATCTGAATAAATGAAGAAGGTTTTATAAAGTCGTTTCGTTGCTGGAACCATGAGTCTCGAAGACGTTTCGAGGAAGACGGATATGAAGACGGACTCGTCTTCAGCAGACCAACGCGCTGTACTCCAGGATTTCACGGTGTCTTTTTTTGCCATGTGCAGACTGGGGTCGTTTCCCTGGAGAGTAAGTCAAATTCTCCTTTGGGTGAATACTTACTGAACCGCTGTGTTTTGCAGCCCGGCAAAGCGCTGCAGCTCGAAGAAGCAGCTCGAGAAACTCCGAGGGCCGGGAGAAATGCGGTCACTGTTAAAGGAATAGTGCTCTAGTGTTACAGGGGTGTCAGACATGGTACCTGTGCCACTAAAGACCCCCCAACGTGTTCTCTTCCAGGCGCTTGAGAAGGAGCTGCAGGGTCCGGACTCTCCTGGCATCGTGCTCCGCATCCTGGAGAGGGTACAGCCGGCCGGCTCGAGTGCAAATACACCAACATGATGCATTGAATATTTATAAAAAAAATAAATGAATTATCGATTACATCCCTCCCCTGTGCTTCTTTCAGACAGTCCACCATCCACTTTGTCTAAAGAACCCCCCGTCCGTTAAATACAGAAGGCTTTTCCTCTCCGAATTAATTAAAAAGGTAATTTAAACGTCAGCCGATTCACACCTTTGCACGAGACAGGTGTGCGCTTTTTTTTGCGTGTGCTCTAATTGCAGAAAAAGCAATGTCGTGCAAACTGCGCGACGTGAAGTCTAGGGCGGCCGGCGAGTCTCCTCCTCACCCCGCTCTCTCACCTCTGTAATCCTGGACAGCACGAAGCCGCGGCGGGGGCGGAGCCCCTGGACGAGCTGTACGACGCCTTCGCGGAGGTCGTGGGAGCGGGGGAAGACCAGGTCTGCCACAAGAGCTACTTTCTGGTAGGAGAGCCTCTCGTTTCCGCCCCCCCTCCCGGTTGTGTCCTGGCGCTGTACCGTGCGAGTGACGCGTCGTGTGGGGTGTCCAGCCCTCAGGGGACACGGTCAGCCTGTTGGAGAGCACGGCGCTCGTCTCAGACGGCACCACGGGCCTGGTGACCTGGCAGGCGGCGCAGCACCTCGCCGAGTGGGCCATGGAGCGGCCTGAGCTCTTCCGCGGCAGGTGGGTCTTAAAACCCGCCCTCCACGACACTCACTAGCTTGGGGGGGGGCGCAGCCTGTCTTCGCGGGGGTGTCGGAACGTCCCCCTTTTCTCCCCGCAGGGCGGTGCTGGAGCTGGGCAGCGGCGCGGGCCTGACCGGGGCGGTCGTGTGCAAGTCCTGCCGCCCCCGCAGGTACACGTTCAGCGACGGCCACCCCAGCGTGCTGCAGCTCCTGCGGGGCAACGTGGCGCTGAACGGGCTGGCCCCCCCGGGCACCCCTACCCCCGGGCCGGGCACCCCGGCCGTCTCCGTGGCGGAGCTGGACTGGGACGCCGCAGCCCCGGAGCAGCTGGAGGGCTTTCAGGCCGACACGGTCATCGCGTCAGGTGCTGTGGCCCCGGCTGCCTCCCGAAAGGAGTTCCTTTCCTCGTGTCGGTTTCCTTGTTCTCGTCTATGGAAAGCCGGAAAACACTCGTTTTCTTTTGCACAGAGGCGCAGCTTAAAAGGACTTGGAAATGCGTCTTCAGAACTAGATAATCACTACAACCAAGATGCAGACTCTGCTAGCCCAGAGATCACGGTCCAAACCCATAAGCTTCTAATAAGATCACTTTATTGGCCATATACAATTTCTTGTATTGGGAATTTGTCTTTTCGCATACCCCAACTTGCTCTCCATGAGACACAGACGGGGAGAGAAGCTGGGGGTCAGAGTGCAGGGTCAACCGTTTATACGGCGCCCCTGGAGCAGCTGGGGTGAAGGGCCTTGCTCAGGGGCCCAACAGAGTAGGATTCCTCTGCCGGCCACAGGATGCGAACCGGCAACCTTCCAGCCACAGGCGCAGATCCTGAGCCACAGAGCCACCTCATGTGTAATATTTTAAAATGTTACACACTGAGATCTGGATTAACCCCTGGCTAGAGTTTTGTTCTAAAAAGGCCCTTCCGGTCCTGTCCGTCTTTTTGTTCGACACAGATGTGGTGTACGACCCCGGTGTCATCTGTGCGCTAGTGGGGCTGCTCCTCAAGCTTTTAAAGCTTCCTGTGCAGAGCAGGAGCCCTGACGTCTACATAGCCTCCACCATCCGAAACCCCGAGACGTACCGCCTCTTCAAGAGCGAGCTTGGTAAGACCAGTGTGCCCCCCAGGACAGGGGTCTCGAAATCGTTCCCCTGTGTATGATCCTGCCTCGTGCTCATTCCTTGCCAGCTCACCACAGCCCCCGACTGGACTAGGAAGTTATTCAAATCGAACGGCTGGATGATCTTTTATTTTTTGTCTGCAGATAAAGCTGGAATCAAACATCGATCGGTTCCTGGTCCTACAGCACAGGTCTTCCCCTACGACAGAAAATCTACCATCGAAATTGTACAACTCCATTTATGAAATAAAGTGCTTTATTAAAAAAAGTAAACCGTTCTTTTTTTTGTACATAGAGGGTTTTTTTTCTGAACAGGTTTACAGTCCTTTCGATCTGGGTTCGAGTTGAAGACTCCTATTACTAGGAAATCTAATTCACGGTGAATGAGCACCACGCTGGCAGACAACTTCGAAGAGAAGCAAAATCCAAGGGCACCTGAGAAAGTGAAGCGAATTCATCCTCGTAATAAAACCAAGCTGGTCTCTCCCCGAGCCTCTCCTGCCGCGCTTTGTCCCCGCTGAAGTTCGGATCCGGGCGAGTGTGGTACCGGGTCAGACCCGGAACCACACTGCGCTGTTCATGAATCTACAGGCCTCGCTGTGTGGGGACGTGTGCGGTCTTGCTGCCCTCTTCCTCAAGGCAGTAACCAAGCCGTGTAGGAAGCCCTCTGAAACGTAACCACACTGGTCACGGCCAGGTGTAGGTACCGATCCAAGAGTGTCGTCCAGCTGTTTCTAGTGTAAGTGCTGAGAATCTGCCGCAGTCTGTTACACAGCAGGGTCCTCTAGAGGCAGACGTGCCCGGTCAGGCCAGCAGCTGTTCTTGTGACGCTGGCCACCTGTGCCAGGTGGGGTTTTCACTGGACGTCTCCGGTGAGGAGAGGGAGGACAGTCTGCTCCCAGCTCTCATCCCAGCGCTGCAGGCCACAATCCCTCAGGGTCCTTCTGAAGGTACCCAGCATTCCCTGGACACCAGGGAAGTCTGCAAGTAGCATCTGAACAGAGAAGGGCAGAAGAGAAATGAGCGAGGATGGCAGTACATGCAGACATTCAACGTGTCATAAGCTCTCCATAACCTAACAGCCTGGGACTCCTGGATTCAACTGGACATATTTCCAATCTGTTTCACTAATATGATCTAATGCACATGAAACACAAGGCATAATGCTTTTCCCTCAAGGAACTTTCCAGTTCCTGAAAGTTCCCATCTGCACAATCCCTCAGCTAGAGCTGCGATACTCTGTGCAGGGAAAGGCCATAATGAAAGTGGTGGTTGCAGTGGATGGTGTACGCTCTGTTCCCTGCCTCCTTGAAAGTGCACAAAAGAGGCAAACTCAGAACTCGACAGCTAGCCAGATGCTGATGCATCTCATGCAATAGAAACAGCGGGATTGTGGAGGCAGCCAGCACAATTATTGGTGCGCAACAGCTACAGCTGTCAGGCATCTATGTCAAACAGTGTGGCCAGTATAATCACAGCCACAACCACCCCTTGCAGAGCGCGTTTGAGCTCGATTTTGACCAGCCAGACTTAAATTAACCTGCTTAATTTGAACAAATGACTATATTTTCTTTCTCATCTTGCATGTCTCATACTTGCAAATGGTACCCAAGTAATGGGCTCGTGTTGTGTTAACTGTATTGTGCAGTGAGTTATGTCCTTTACCTGCCTGCAAAGGGACAGTAACACCACGTGTGAAGGCTGAGACAGTGCTTTCCTTCTCACTGCATCAAACACAAGGCCCCCTGATAACCACCCCCACTTCCAGTACCTTCAGCTGCTCAGCCAGCTCCTGCGAGTCCTGAAATATCAGCCCGTTCTCCCCCTGCTTCACCAGCTCATGCAGACTGTGGGGGAGAAAGAGAGCAGTGAGATTTCTGTCTACAGAGGGCAGTAGAGTGCCCTAGGTCAGGATAATCCCAGGAATCAGCACTAAGGGCTGAAAGGCCTTTTTCTGCTGATGTCTGCAATCGGACTGGAGTCTTGACATTTGAAAACCTGTTTCACTTCTCACTATGTAACACCGGGGGCGCAGGTCCCAGCTGTGCTGATAAAAAAGCCTGGATCACAGCCTCTAGTGCAGAACAGATTACAATCCAGATGGATACAACTTTTATTTGGTTATATTCTTTTTTTAAAATAACCTCATCGACTTACACACTGTGAAGCATTAAAAATGCAACACTATTGACTCCAGTACTCATTTGCAGTGTCTTTAATGCCTCTCAGTGCCTATATTAAAGTGCCTCTTGCCTCTGCAGGGTCAAGCCAGGAGATGTGCTCTCTGTAAGCTCTGGGCTCACCATTGGAAGCGTATGGCACAGACGGGGAGGCAGCAGCCAAACATGTCCACCACCTTCATCGGGAGGTCGAGGCCGCTGGACGACTTGTGCAGGCAGACGCCCAAGTCCGCTGACCCTGCCAACGAGAGCTCAGAGTGAAAAACCCCTCCTTCCGTTCGGGGCCTGAGCAGAGCTGCAAAGCGCACACGATGATGACATCAGTTTGACAGGGCCACGCTAAACAGACAGAAAACAGGACAATTCCTCTTCGGGCTGGCACCAAAAACCGTGCGTGCAAACGTTCAGCTAGACAGGGGTGTAACTGATCTCTGTAAAGGCTGAAGGATCGTAATGAGCTGGTCTATTAGTCGGCTGCTATGGTTTGTGGTTTTCACTAACAAGCTGCACAGCGGCGTCTTACTCTGGTCAAGTCTGTACAGACCCAGCAGTGAACATGCCTGGAATTCCACAGAGTTTCTGAAGCACTTACCAAGCAAGACTGGGTAGTCCTCTGCTTCCAACCATGGGGTGCAGATCTGCACGTGCTTGAAATGCATTCCCTCAATCAAGTTTTTGTAGTACTGCTTCTGAGGACCCTTGCCTAAATATACAATCAGGAATAAAGGAAATTCAACGCTGTGTGCAATTTTCTAAAGCTCTGCGTGATCTTGTTTATGCATTTATTTTATAGCAAAGGGGTTGGTGAAGTGAATGGTTGTAAGGAGTCTCTGCACCTGAAAGCATACCTGTGATGACACAGACTAGGGAGGGTAGTGTAGCTCCATCCTTAATAAAACCCTCATATTCTGTTAAAAAAAAATACAGAGAAAATATTAGGCTGTAGAACAGGGATCACTTCATTTCATGTCAGGTTAATACCACTTGGGGAACCTCAAATGTCCTCTTTATTTTTGCTTTACCTCCTGAGCTGTATGTCTTCTAAGTTTTGTTTCCTACCATTTCAGCCTGACCCACTATTTACTTCTAACTTTTGTTCTTAAAACCTATAACACATTTTTTAACCCTACGGACGTCCTCACAAAAATGGTTCAATTCCAGGTACGTTGCAGATTTGAATCAAATGGAAGCAGCAACAAGTGGACATTTTTACAGAATCTGTGTTACAACCGGCTTCGAGTCGGAGTTCTTTACCTTCAAGGGCCTTCAGCAGCACAGAGAAATCTTCATCCTCTGACAACGGAAACAAGAGGAATGGCGAGAGAAGCCATGGTTATAAAAACAGAAAAGAAAACGTATACTTAAAAGGGTTCCACTCAATTCTTATGATGAGATCCCAGTAGTAAAGACACTTGTGCACTCAGTGCAAAGGGCTCCTGTACTCACTATATGGACTTTCACTATACAGTACATGGCGTCTGGGCGCAGTCAGGAGACACCTAATCAGGAAGCATTATTCAGACCCAGCTGGTCTTCTGGCTGAAACCATTACTGACTTTTATAAGAACAGAGCGAGTCTGCAGAGAACTGTGGGCTGGAGTTTGCCTTGTTTATTCTGATTCAATTCTTCATACTGACCAGGCCATCGTATCTCTTTTCTGTCCTCATATTCGTTAAGTATTATTCTGGGTCAAGACCCATTACTCTACAAAAACAGGTTTCCTTTTCTGTGGACAGGGGCGGGGGGCTTCTCGGGTCCGAGAGACTGTGGACAGTGAATGAGAGCCTGACCTGTCCAGCTGGTGCTGCTCAGCAGGAGGGCAGGACGTCCCACAGCATACGTCACGGTCCCGGTCACGGGGTCAAGCTCTGTGAAGGCCGTCCGGTCCGCCCCGTCACCTTCGCGCTGGGCCCTACGGCACCCGTACAGTGGTTAGACCAGCGTTCTTCAGAACCGAGCCCAGCCACGCACAACAAGGACAGCCAGGTCACCAGTCAGAAAGCACTGGGCTAGCTCAGAATTCAGAATACTACGTGGATGACAAATGAATATTAGCACTGCATTGGACTAGAACTTAGAACGTTTAAATTCAATGCAGCACCTGTCACTGCATTTGGAGCACGTTTTCCATTGCCACCTAGATCTAGCTCAGCAGTTTGACTGCATCCTGTCCAACTTCCGCATCTCAGCGCTGCCCTCCCCTCGCTTTGTTGCGAGACCCCTCAAGTTTCACCAGAGCGCATTACAACTTCCAACAAGAAGCCTCCCTCCAAATACCTGAAATGCCATAAAGGCAAATATTTGTTAGTGTATAGGATGTCACCCATTCTCCCGAGGTAAAAATATGCCATATAAAAATCCGACTCACCTGGTTTTAAACGGGGGAAAATCTTTTGCCATTTTCAGAAACAAGCTGTGCTTTGACTCCAAAGATGCCTCTTTAAATATCATGGGTGGTTTGTCATAAAGTGTTGTTGCCCTTACAAAAGACAAAAAAAAGAACACCAGTGTTATGAAAATACCCTACCAGTGTCCACACCTTTGTGTGGACTGCTGTTACTGCTGCTTTTATTGAACTGCAAGACAACAGCTGAGCATCAGAGTAATATTGCCTTCGTCGTTTTCGGTGGGTCCCTTACTTTATATCCCAGTTTCTGTGCAGGTCCTCCTTCATGGCATTGGTGACGCAGAGGTTGTAATCCGAACATCTTCCGAAACACCTTTCGTACCTAAGAGAAGTGAGAGCATTAGAGTCGCTGGAAGTTATCTGGCCTTCACTTTTCAAGGTTCGGCTCTGAACCGTGCAATTCGTTCTGCCTGTCCCAGTGGGCGCAGTACTTTACTGACCACTTGGCAATCCGGACGATTGGATGCTTCTCTCCGTGGGTGAGAGACATAATGGTGTATCCATAGTTGTGCCAGTCAATGATGAAGCTGCTGCCCCAGACTGCACACAGGAGCCAGGTGACAGCTATACTGGGCAAGCCTGGTGGATTCTGCAAGAATATATAGAAACAGGGATGCCTTGCTCCAGGGATCACATGCAACATGGAACTGGTGACTTTGGAGCCAGGCAGGCAGGGGGACAGACATGAACAGTGAAAAGTACCTCCTCCAGATCTCGCTGCATCAAAGTGGAATTTTAAACCACAGCCAACATTTCTGCATCACAAAAAAAACAACCTGTTTCGTTCGAACAGCTAAAGGCCCTTACTTGCAGCAGAACGTGGGCGGGGGTATCGATCTTCAACAGGACGCAGAGCAGCTGCAGTGATTGCAGAACAACCTTCGTCACATACTGGAGAACCCTGGGACCAACTGCAAGCGCAGAGAGAGGGCTGAAGTTGAAGAGGCATATGGCTGACAAAACACACACACACACACACTAAATGCTGGAGAATCACATTGACGCAGTTAATACCCAGGTAGCACGCCTGCAATACAGTGACTCTTTCTGACACATAAAGGCAGAACTGAGATGGAATATTCATTTCACTTCAACAAACGTTATTGGCATGACCTATGAATTGCAGTGTTGCCAAAGAGTGTATAATCAACAGAACATCTACAGTACAAACATCACAGGACAAGTGCATACATCAAACAAGACAAACATTATTGGGGGACAGGCTCACAGTCTGTCGACCCTCTTGGCTCGATTTGAAGGGGAAACATATTTGCATGAATTTGTTTCTGTGTGCTTAGCCACTGCACTGATGGGTCCAATCCCACATTACCTGTCAGCCCTTTCAGATCCGAAATGGGGACGATCTTTATTTTCTCACTAGCAAGAACATCCGAGTGTGGTTTTGTACCTAGAAGTAGGAGAATCACAGCTTCCAAAAATCAAATTAACACACATAACAGTACATAATACATAAAATCAGTAGTTAAGCACCGCCTGAATTAAATTTCGGATAAGAGCCGAGTTTGAATGAAACCCTGCAGACACACCGCCCCCCCCCCCAGTACCAGGACTGCTCACACCTAGGCTAGCGGAAACCTGAAGGATGTCTTTGATGCTTACAGTATAACGCACTCTGCCTGGCTTGTGTAGCTGCTGAACGCCGCATTACTGGGAAACCAGGTGAGGTTTGTGCGTAAACCACGAACGTAATGCAGGTCTGCAAAAGATGATTGCGATGTTTTGGTAGCGACGTTTTCTACCGAGCCCATGACAGGGCTGCCTGTAATCATACATAAAAGTGTCGCTCGCAGCTCAACTCGAACTTGTGCATAGAGTGGGAACCCCGCTCCAAGATACTGGTCCGCGAGTGAGAAAGTAATCACACCCGTAATTTACACCCTCCAAACGTGCCCGAATCCGCTAGTCTCTGTCTTCCAAACCACACTATTGCGCCTTTCCTCGAAAACAAGAGCTCATCTTTTGCATCGGAAACATTTACCAAGGTAACCAACGAAGGAGACGCGGTATCCGTGCTTGCTGAGGGAGATGCAGTGGTATTGCATGCGGGGGCTCCGACCGACGTCCCCCAACACCAGCACGCAGACGCTGCGGTTTGTGCGCGCTCTGCTAGCCCGAGACCTCCGTGCAATCAGTAAGACGCACCCCACTACAATAACGGGGAGAACCGCCCAAGACGAACCGGGCCGGGTCACACAGTAACTGCAGGCAAAGCCCACCGCCACCAACAGCACCAGGACGCCGGCCATGATTGTGTTCCTGGGTCAGTATGACGTGGCGATGAAGGAAGTGGAATTTAAAGAGAAAGTGCGCCAGTATTTCGCGACTGTTATAACACACGGTAATCTAATTTAAAATACCGCGCAGGATTTAAAAATAAATGCATTTCAAAATAAAGTTGAGTTGGGGGCTTGTTTATATCATAATGTCTGTGGCGACAGGTTGCAACACGATAGCGAACGGAAACATCAACAGCAGTCAGAAAGTCAGATGCACGTTTGAGTGTAGTGAGCAATGTTCACAGCCAGAGGGCACGATGTCGGGGTGATCTACAGAGGCGCACTCCGTTTAATGGGGAAACCATGCATTCGTAACTCCGGGAGCCTCGGTCAAACAACACAACGACGAAAATAAACCCATTTCCTACTTGCTTCCTTCTGTCTCTTTGATGGTGTGCAGTTTTGCTGTTCAACGGAGAACTAGCACAGGCTTATCGCATACCAAATACTTCAGTATCTGTATTCACTGCATGTGATGACCGGGACTATTTGGCAGACGGCTGAATTACAGCTGAGCGCTTACAACAGACCTCCCCGCACACAAATCTCGGCGGAGACACGTGACAAAACCTGTGCGACTCCAGCCCGTTCTGTTATTGATCTCAGGATGAGTCCCCAATTAGAGCCGCCGCTCCTATTAAACACGAGGGGAGAGCACTGTAGCTCGGAGTGTCACAGATGTGCAGAGATGCACATGTCTTTTGTGGTCGCCGCTGCCACGCTCCGTTGTGATTAATATATACACCCATCATCCACACAGTTTAGCATGAAGTGCTCTCACCTGCTTTCACTTGCGGCGGTTCTGTCGGCTACAGTTCCTGCCACAGAGCAGGACGTGATCTCTGATGTCCTCAGCAGCCTGGACAGGGCGGCCGGTTTCTTTGAAAACGAGTTCAGAGACATCAACTTGGACGGGGTTGTGGGATATCGAATCCTCAGCGGTAAGTTCCGATTCCTTAAGTTTCACTCTGCGATCATTCAAAGTCAGTATCTTTTTGTGCATCTTGCTGGTCTAGGGGTCTTTCCAGGGTTTACAATACAACAATAACCCAATTTGCGAAGTGTCACAAAGATATAGCTGGTCATGGCAAACGATGTGTTTCTTATTATTGCTGTACATACCTGTGATCTTTTATACATTTCCTTAGAAGAGTCTGCTTCGAAATATTTCTACGTGCAAGTAGTGTATATATAAAAAAACTACCAAGTACAAGAGAAAAGGACCCCTTGGTCGTCTTTTACACCCGATTGAATAACATTTAATAAAGCGATAATTAAAAAGGTAACCTAAAAACAATCTCAACTGTCAGCTCACAGCAACAGTGGCTGTCATGGCGCTAATTAAAATCAATTACTGTACAGGATGTGATATAGTATACAGCTCAGAATCATTTATGTGTTATTATGTTTTATGTTGTTATATTTTGAGGAGATAATTACACTTATTTTTTGGTTTAGTGAGATGAACTAGAAAAGGGAAGACGTCGCTTCTTGACGGTTGAAATGCAAACTGGGTTTTTTTACTCCGAAAATGTCTATAGAATTTCTTTTATATGGATTTCATTTGTCGCATAGAATACAATAAACCATGAGAAAACCGTAGACGCTGATCTGAGACAATCGGAACAAATGAAATCAAACAAATTAGTCTGTAAATCAATGCCGCTAAAACTGTGGAAGGAAGGGATTTGCTCTGCAGTCGCCCACCGAAAGCTGGAGAGAGCACATCTCAGGATGTTCCCTGGCCTTGGGAAAAAGAGCGTAAGAGAAGACAAAGAACCGTCTCTTAGAGTTTTCTGTCTTTTTCTTGTCACGTATGACATTTATCTGCAGGATCACAGAAGTGAATACACAGAAATGAGCATGACGTTTCATTCCGCGGGGGGGAAAAGAGACAACTAACCGATTTGCGCTCTAGGACAACATTTAATGCCATTCAACAATTTGGCAGCTTGTTTAGGAGAGGTGTAAAAATCAGCGACGCTGGAAACGTTCCCTTGCTCATGCTGGACCTCGACCTATGCAAAATCGACGTCAGAAAATTCTGTTTTGCATTTGGCAAATAAACAAAACGACCTTTCAACAGATGAGGAGGTCGCAAGCATGTGAGGACAATATAAACACTTCTTGCAGGTCAAGCATGCCTCCTGATCGTGCCTTTCTATGCTCAGCTTAGAACTGGAAGTCTGTTCAGAGAGGGTTGCGAATTTAGCTCAAGTGTTCCACAACGCTGAGAGCTACAGTCATTAATATTCCTCCCCATGATTTAATTATTAGAATGAGATATAACTGGTTGTCCTGCCACTCTCTGTGCACAGTGGAGCTGGCAGAGGCCCTCAAGAGATGGCAGGACACAGACCCAGGAAGCTCAGCTCACCTCTCCAGGGCACAGGGTCTGGCTAGAAGATTGAATGACATCATCGCCCAGGCGGTCACCGTGCTCCAGCACAGCGATCCGAAGTACTACAGAGGTAAAGCACGCTCCAGCGCTTTCACACTTTGTGTCCTCTTTTCATTGACACATGCTGTGGGAAGAATCAATCTGCCCTATTTGTCATTTCCAGTGCAGCCCCCTTTCTTGGAACAGGGCTGCAGGTGACGTTAAAAGGGTAAACCCGTGCTGTCGCCCAAACTCTGGTTTCCCATGGGGTTTACGTGGGCTCACTAGTAACAGCGACACCGCAAAATAATGATTTCCTGAAGTAGAAGCTTTGCTTGACCGAGGGCTGCAGGATTGAGAAGGGTAGAGAGTCCAAAAGCTTTTCGGATCTTGGAATGACAAAAGCCAAACCAATATTGAATTCCTCTTAAAATGCACCTCAGACTGCTTTGCAAAATTAAAAATTCTGCTGGACTCTTTCCCCACCCCCCCCAGAGTTCGAGCCTATACTGGAAACCCGCTTCTGGACGGTGCCCGATGTGTGGAACACCTCCGACCCCACCCTGGCCTACGCCAAGCTCCGAGACATGGAGTGCTACGATGAGCAGCTCAGTGATAAGTGCATGACCCTGCTCCTAGGCACCTGGTATGGAGCCGATATCTGTGCCCGGCTGCGGCCGGGGGCCTGTCCTGTCTCGGCTGCAAGAGGACATTGGACAGCCCTGGTCAGAGTGAAGGGTAGTGGGGCTCAGTGAGTTCCTGGTAGAGGAAAGACGTGCATGAGCAAAGGTGGTACAAATGTGGGAAACCATAGCACAGCAAAGTACTGTAGGACTTCAACACAGAGGTATAATCACAATCACTGCATGGGGAAACAGATGGGGGAAAAAAACGCTCTGGAGATTAACACTGGTGAATTTTCAAAGCAGGTATTGTAAGGGTCAGTGGCACAAGTCTGCAGCAAAACTCATTTACTGTCGTTTACTCATTCAATGTCTCAAAATGCCGACTGCTATCAAAATGTGGGTTTAGAGGGACCTTCCATCTAAGAACCTTACTGGTTCATCCAGGGTTCCAGGCTTTGCAATAGATATTGTAAAAGAATTGGCAAGTTGAATAATGATAGTTGAAGTAGTATTAATTTCTTACACTTACGTAGCGCTGTTTCTGAACACTCCACTCAAAGCGCTTTACAGGTAATGGGGAATCTCCTCCACCACCACCAGTGTGCAGCCCCACCTGGACGATGCGACGGCAGCCATAGTGCGCCAGAATGCTCACTACAAGCCAGCTATTACTGGGGAGGAGAACAGAGTGATGAAGCCAGCTTAGAGATGGGGATCATTAGGAGGCCATGATTAGTAAAGGCCAGAGGGAAATGTGGCCAGGACACTGGAGTAAGACCCCTACTCTTTTCGAGAAACACTCGAGAAACTGAATGTTAGGACCTCAGTGTTAGGTCTCCTCTGAAGGATGTAGCCTTTTTTACAGTAGTGCCCCCATCACTATACTGGGGTTTTATGGCCACAAAGACAACATGGTGAGTGCTCCCTACGGTTCGACTGAATCGGAGGAGAAATCAGTATTTACCAACTAAGCTATTATGACAATGACTGAATGATAACTCTAGTCCCTGCATGTTCCTAAACTTACAGAACGTGCATAGAAACATCCCACAACAACAAACATAACAAGGCTCTTCTCACATAAAGCGGATTTCCTGAGTGACGCTATGGTGCTGAAGAGTTTCCAGTAGATGAGAAAGCTGGGCAATTTTTTATTGTTCTCTTTTTAAAGGAAAGACAACGGAACACCTTGCATAGTGACAAAGTCCTGCAGGGAGACCATGACGAGATTCGGGTGTCCTCGTTACTCCCTGTCTCACCAGCTGCTGTACTTCATGATGGGGAGAATGGTAGGAGCACAGAGATATGAAACCACACGGCAGAGGTCTAGGGCCACTGTATGGCATGTCGGAATGAACTGAGTGTAGCCTCTGAAATTGCGATAGCCTCTTTTTTTTTCTGTGCAAAGAAAAATAAAATAAAACAGCTTTAGAGAGCAAAAAGTAGTTTTTTTGCTGGTTTAAGGGATCTTGTTTGTGATTTGTCTTGGACTTACAGCAAGGGTGCTCTAACATCCTGCAAGGGGAGCACAGACAGGCTCGTGCCAACCTGACCATTCGTGACTACGAAAAAATCTTCTGCTCTAACATGATGAAGAGCAATGTGGAATTTGAAAAGGATGGCTATCCAAGCCAGACACGAGATATTTTTATTGAGAACAGTGAGTATCTAGTAATCTGGTCTTAGATTTTGTGTAACAGTATTTTCTACTTATGAATTACTTCCTTGTGGATGCAATGCTAAGGTTGGTGCTCATGGATAATATAATGCAGCTCACCTCTTGTGGCACGAGATACATGTCAAATCGTTATAGAGATCTTGGCAAGTGTTTAAGTAGTGAGAATCTAATATCTATCGATTTGCCCCTTGCTTTGTAGTAATGCTGTGTGGCCTGGCAGGCTTCTCAGATTTCTACAAATCTAGTTGGTTGCAGCACATTTTCTTTTGGCAAGACCCAGAAGAAGGCTGTTTTGGGAAAGATGGTAAGTTGCACACTTATGTAGTGATCAACTATGCACTATGAGTAACGGTTTCTCTCTGGTAGATGTTTAAATTTGTTAAAATGGCAATAGTAGATTTGGATGACCCGATGTTCACAAGGAAGAACTATTTCATCCAAACTTTTCAACCATCTTTTTGTGGCGGCACAGAGTGGGGCAGCTCACCCGAGCAGGAAAGCAACCTGCTGGAAACACTGCAGCTTCGCAAACGGGTGAAGAGGAGAGAAAAAACTCTGAAAGGTACAGAGAAAGGTGGAAGATGTTATATAATACTTCCATATATCTTATTATGCATTCATGAGGTGTCTTGTGCTGTGAATCAGATCTGAGACTGATCTGATTAGTTAACCAGTACTAGTGTAATTAATAATAATTAGGTTGGTATTAATCTTATCTAAAGTGACTTGCAAATGTACCCATTTACACTGCTGTGCATGTTCCTGAAGCAGGCTGTGTGAAGCACATTAGAGCTGGGGCACCCAATCAGGACCCCCTTGTTTTTGTTCTAATCAAGCTCTCTGTTACACAACGGATCCCTTCATTTACTTCATATTAGACTTTATGTGAACCGTTTTCAACTATTAATAATTATGAAGAGGTTTGCCCTTTAACTATAGCATTCCATATGTAAAATAAAATCCCCTGCTTCTAAGTAGAGAGAAAAAGAAAACATTTTAAATCAAGCTGAATGTTGGTAAAAATACAGCTTCAGTTAGGCAATTAACGTACAGTGGGAATGAAAACCAGGACTGGTGCTCCAGGACTAGGACTGGCAGCCTCTGCCTTAGGGCTCAAGGTATATGATGTCTAAACCCACCACCTCCTATTTACGAGTACAGAGCCCTGACCACTACTCCAGACTAGAGCCTGTACTGCAAGCTCACATTAACGGTGCGTGTTTTCACAGATGGGTGTTCAAGCCACATGACGGGAGTTGCAGTGAGCACACTGGGCGGGTATCTGAACTACTACCTAACAGAGCAGGACATCACAAAGAGGCCGCTGACGTAGGCTTCCACATCCCCCATCTTCAATGTTTTTCTTGACACAGGAGTCGTCACCTGCTTTTCTGAATGTTCTAGATCAATGTTGTTTTGTTTTTAGACACTTGGGATCATTAGTAATGAGGATCTTGAATAGTTATAAAATAAATAACACCTAGGTCACGCATTCAAAAAAAAAAATGCAGTCCACTTTCCTACTTGTATGCAACACTTGTACCAGAGGTATTAGCAGACTATGTTCAATGCAGATGTTTTTTTAAGCATTTCCTGCAGTAAAAATGCTTAGAAAACAGCAGAAATGTAACATCATGATTTGTTCTCAGTACAAATCAATAGTAACGTCATTTTCAACATTCTTGGCAGTGCGAAAAAGTTGAGTATTTGTGCTCTTAATGTCTGAAGAAATGTGAAAAAACAGCTGCTGATTTCATCCTCTGATATTAATGCAAATAAACCTGTACAGCTGTCAGATATCCAGTCCTCTTTTATTACTATAAAAAATAAACATTACAGTCCAGTGAAACATCCATTGCAATTTGTACACACACTGAAAACTTAGTGAGACTAAAACAAAACTTTTTTACAAAGAAACAATATAAAGTGTTCATTTTTCACTCGTAACAAAATATAAAAACACATTTAACAGTGTTGCTTTTACTCTATGGGTTTCTCTGTACACTCTGTACCACTTTAAATGATGTATGATTACAGGAGACTAAAAGCACACTGGCAACTGTAAAATGTTAAAGTTAAAAGTTCGAGTCAGTGTTTGTTTTTAGCTTGTCTTGACAAAAAAGTGAATTATAGAAAAGTGCAAATATCTCTCATTTTCCAGGAGCTGAATATGTTATACGCCAAACAGGGCAATCCAACTTATTACCACTGATATATACTTCTATATAGTACATAATCTGTTGTGCGTGTTCTCTTTTTACAGAGACCACTGTGTATTTTATAGGGATATATGTAAAAGAAGATAAAGTATTGATTACCCTACTGGTTCCACCCAATAATTTCATAGATCAATGCTTTCAGCAAGCGAGCCTCGTATGTGACTGTATTCTTTCCAATGTGCATTCGGTCCTCCTCCAGAGGTTGCTCAATGAGGGCTGGTACATTCTTCCCATAAACTGAAAAAGGGAAAAAAATAATGACTCCCTCTGTGAGCAATAGGTCTGCAAGCTAATTAGCAATCAGCAGCTGTACTACAATTCGAGCTGTGCACAACAGTGCAATCATATTAGTATGACCAAGACATTTATAGTACAACAGTCAAGCTACATTAAAATTCAACAAAGCAATTTAGCAATGAATATAATGTTAACTTTCCTGGAACAAATGAAGAGACAGAACATTAACTACAGCAAGAAATTATTCACTGGTAAGTGCAAACTTGAACAGCAGTACCATAATCATTTCCAGAAACGTTTAATGTTAAATATCTTCAGTATTTCTACTTGCCACATTTAACATCAAAAATACTGGACAGATTTTAGAACACCAGAGGAAATTCAGCTTCTGAAGTCGTTAAAAAACACACGTGTCTGGAGTTAAAATTCACCATAAGCGCATATGAAAAAAATACCCAACATTGTAATGAAACATGAAATTAAGTTGTTTTGCATTTAAGCTTTGCTAATTAACAAAGCAAAAGAAACCATATTATCTGTGTTAATGAGCCAGATCAAATCAATTGCACTGTACCACTTTATTTTAAGAATCCAATTAACATCCAATTTCCTTTTATAATCAGAAAGCCAAAAGATCTTTATTTGAAAATGGGAACCCCATCATCTTGATGGACCACTTACCCTCACAGTGCTCCAGAAACTGGATGCATTCTTGTATGACACTATCTCTTAGCATGATCATGTGCTTTGACATGTTTTCTAAGAGGGAGAGGAAGCACCTCTTAGCATAGTACCATGTGTCTGTCCCAAGCTGCAGGTGAAAAGACATTCTTAATTAGCTACAGGCTGGTTTACTATTACAATCAATATGGTATCCAGGGAAACAAGACAAACGATTTTGTAAAACCATTTGTTCCTAATATAAATTTATGACAAAAAAACACATTTGGTACTACTGCTTTTCGACGCAGATTATACAGTTTTAATATCAATATAAAAAGTTTCATAATTTATATTTTTTCCTTCCATCTGGGATCCTTCGCTCATTGCTTAAAATGCTTAACACTCATGTTCTCCCATAGCTCACTGATATTCTCAGAGGGAGGAAAAAGCAGAAAACAAAAACAAACCGCTTTTTAATTGACAGTGGGCAAAAATGACTTTCCAGCTGGTTGGAGCTGCAAATATCCCACTGGGAAACCTGAATACACCAGTTATTGTGCAATAAAAATGAAATGATGTTGCTAGTTATGTGCAAAACAGGAACTATGACTAAGAGGCTGCAAAAAATAAAGCAAATGGCTATTGATTGGCAGTTAAGATCCATGAAAACCACACATAGCCTTTAAATATCCAAGTTGTAATTAATTTCCAAACAATCATTTACAATCATTAATTATATGATTATATTTTATATTCATGCCCTTCTTGTAGCTTAAATGTGAAAATAACATCTCTAGAAAAACCCATAACATTTAGAGTTAGAGTCTGGGTTATTCTGTGATCTGAGGGGGTCAGGGAAAGTTCAATGGCTCTTCACTTTGAAGAAAGTGACATGAGATAAGATGAGACAGATTATCACTGTTCCCAAAATCATCCTTCCACTCCTCGGCCATCAGTGCTTCTGCATTGAACACACATGTCGATGGGAATCGCATTGTTTTGTTACATTTAACTGATTTGTTGACTCAATCAATTGTTGCAAAAGGAAAGGCAGCATTTTGTGACAAAAACAGTCAAGCCAGATAGAATAAACTGAGGTATCCTATGAGGTATGACTGAGTATTACAAAGAACTTTCAGATGATGATGAATTATATATATATATTATATTACACTTGATATGAGCGCTAAGTATTTTTTTCATACAGTACGTGTCACGTAAGAGGATAAACTAAAAAGATGGTACATAAGACTGGACCATTGCCTGGAAGATAAAGGCAATGATAATTTTTATTTAACAATGTAATTTCTCATTATACCAGGGCCAGAAACAAGTCTTTTCAATGATCCTTCATTATCTGGAAGCATTTGGAAATTAATCTGGGGCACTTTGTACATCTGCAGTTTTACACACATTGCATCGTGACTGTCTCAATCAAGAGAATTTCTTGGAACAGCAAAAAAGAAATATTTCAACAACACAGGCCAAGGCTGTCAGAATGTCTTACCTTTTTGTTGTAGGGCTCTAAGCTCTTGATCACACGAGAAATACCAAAATCGTAATTACCTTTGGCACAGTACAGGGTTCTGCGGGAGCAGGAATTCAAATAATGGAATGGTATTTATGCAATACTTAGTAATGGAAATCTCAACTAAAGACCAAACTCTAACACCTATCCCTTCTGTAAAAGCTCAGATTTACAGTATACACCCCATAAAACCTATATGTTTAATTTTAGCAGCAAATTCTGTAAATGATTGCTTCTTAAAAAAAATAATTACAAAACAAAAAATAATGAAGGAATAAAACATTGGATGTATAAAGTCAGCCTTTAAATTATCTGCTATCAAAGTCAGTTTTAAAAGAGAACAGAATACCCACACAGAAAGCAAAGCTCACCCTATCACAAGGTTAACAATGCACAGATGATAGATTTTCTTCTCTGGATCGTCGTAGGATACCTGCTCTTCTTCTTTCTCAATCTTTCTCATGAGCTCCTCAGCCTTTGAAAAAAGTGTTTGTGTCAGATCATAAGAAGAACATATTCACCCTATTGTAGTGGCTACATCAGCCACATTAGCTACATAATGTAGCTCTTTCCTTTCACCTTTTTATTTCATGTTCCTTTTACTGTACTCACAGATTTTATGTATTTTTTAAATCAGATGCTGCACTTCAATAGACTATAAATGTAGTTTAAGCATTAAAGACTAAATTTGACTAGACATCAAAACAATCAACAACTTATTGTTTCAGATTTAAAGTTTTATTAATTAATAACCTTAGAAGTGACTAAAACATCAGAATTATAAAGATGATTTTTAATGTAAATTTGATGGTTACGCATTACTGTGTACATTTTACTTTCACTGTGGTTTGAAATGCACTTATCAATGCTGATTGTTTTTAATTCCAAAATATAAAAATAGCATTGCAGTTCTATTTGGAGGAATTTAAGAAAAGTAAGTTTTTCAGTACACCTCCAGTACAGTGCCTACAATGTTTTAAATAATTAAAAAACATTTTAGTACAGGACCGTACCTCCTCATTCTGGCTGGTCATGATGTAGGACACGCAGAGATTGGCTAGGACGATAGCACTTACATTGAGGATCTACAGAGGAAAAAAAAACCTTAACTAACAATACAAATGGTTGACAGTAAAAATAATAATCACAAGAAAAGAATGCTTAGTTTGTTAGAATATGTTGACTGTATGAAAAATCACACAACCACAAGACAATGTTCAGTGTCCATGCATGGAGATCACACGCAAGTCATGTTGAAATACGCAGACCGACGCAAATCAAACACCTCACTTCACCAGTGCATTTTACCGAAGTTTTTCTCTTGCAAGGACATTCTTGAATGTTACACTGCTCCAGCTGAAGCAAACAGAAGAGCAGAAGAGACTTTGAACCAGGGTTCTCTGGACTGAAAAAGTTAGGAGCTGACCGGTGGAGCAGAGATCTAATTTAGTAGCATCCAAAGGTACAGGTGAGCAGAGAGTTTGTAATACAGCAGACAGCTAATATTTTATAATGACTCACAGGAAAATGCTACAAGGCAAGAGTCACACCACAAGATGAATACTGAACAAAGTCTATTGGTGATCTTGACATGGAAGTATTCTATTCTCTCAATGATAATGATATTCTGAGAATTTTTTTCTTTAACACTGGTAGGATGCACATTATTATTGCTGAAATTTACTAAAGGAGTCTACCATCTCACTGTGATTGTTCCGTTACATATATTCACCAAGTATGACATTTTTAATAATGCACAACACAGAAAGTAGCTCTTCTGCTGAAGAGCTGGAGTGAGAATAAGGGGTATTTACAGAATAGTGTTTTTACTATAATATTTACTTTTTATACAGTAAATACAAATCCGTGATGTTCAACCAGACACGGAATATCAAATAATGATGAAAACATGCACCATTCTTTAAAAACAAGTGTTTTAAGATCATTAGAACGCCTGTTATGGAAGGGCCCGGACTGTTAGTTTAGACAGCGCTCCTGCAGAATCAGTACACTTACGTTGTCATAGTGCTTTTTAACAATCGGCTCATAGAACCCAATTGCCTCTTTGTATTTGCTCTCCTGCATGAAGAGGACATGAGCCACATTCAGTTTCCACACATCGTGCTCATTGCAGAACTCCACGGATTTGCGGAAGATCTTTTCCACCATGTGATAGTTCTCCAGGTTCCAGTAAATTTTGGCCTGAGCCATCAGCACTGGAATGTACCTACGTCACACAAACACAGAGATCTGTAAATGAGTAAATAATGGAACTTACAGTAAGTCACTCAAAAAACTGGAAACTTACCAGCTTTACAGCTCATCCCATTCATTGCAGTATGGACTGATAATGCCTCTTTCACAGGCATTAAATGGCCCATTCAGATGGGGTATAATACCAGCAGGACATGTTGCTCACCTCTCAAGAGCCTCATCGTATTCACTGACAGCCTTTTTCACGGCCTCATCTTCACGGCTATGTCTTGCTTCTTGCACCTTAACAAAAGTACAAAACAGGCAATCTATTAAGGACACACTGCCAGCACAAACTCCAAACATATCCCTTGATCTATGCTTCCTGCATCTTCCTAATGAAGCTGCCAGGTACTGGGATCAGTTATCACAGTTAGCAGGTGGGTCAAACATCTTTAGGGTGTAAAACAACAAAGTATGAACAGGAACTAGTAAAATCACCGGCAGCCTACATCAAAAGCTTCAGGGAATAAAACACTCCTGCTATAGGTGTCACAAAATAAATAGCTATTCGGAATTAACTCCTTTTGAATATAAAGTATATAAGCTACAGGTTGTTGTTAACACTTTATTTTTTCCTTAAGAGAAATCAAGATACAGTTGAGAAAACAACGACTTTGCTGAGATGTTGCATCTCAGAAATAAGCACTCATAAAGAAAAAGCTTGAAGCTCTACTCTGTAACAAAGAGAGCTGGCTTTTATTAAGGGAAGAGTCACATATTTCATTCAGTTTATAAGGTCAGTGGACAGGGAACTTGTCAAGGAGTCTGTAACGTAAGCCTTGTGGATACAGGTTTAGTGATTAGTCTGTTACAATGTATGGCAAAAACTGCGGTAGGAGAAGAAAGATTTTACCTGCTTGGTCAGTTTGCGTAGCTGCTCAGTTAGCTTCCCTGCAACTTCATCAAACTTTCGAAAAGCCTTGAATATCGACAGAAGGAGCAAAGTTTTGAAAACTTGAATGCACTCTGGTGAACTGCAGTGTATTTGACAGGGTTGTGTATTTAAGTTCGAATACATTCTTAAATTATCAAACAAATAGTGAAAGTCACACCTACACTACTGTCAAATCAATTTTATTTATAAAACAACATTTCATGCCTTCAAGGTGATGTGGAAGATGAAAAGGAAACATGACAATAACAAGATTAAAAATAAATAAAAAGAAAAATAAAATTCAAAAAAGGCTGCAATTTTTAAAAAGATTCCGAATAAAAGTACATTGTAGCTGAGTGTTAAAATGAAGTACAGAGGGTCTAAGATTGTAGGCTTATCAAAATATTCAGGGGAAAAAGAAGCAAATAACAAATAACATTAGAGGAAAAATAAGAAGTCTCACCTCCTCTGGCGCAGTCTGACATGTTATCATGGCATCTAGAAACTCATACAAATACTGCAACAAAATAGACACAATGTTAGTTTTCTTGGTTTCTTTTGGGGTTAAATCAAAAAAGTATTTCAAATGTACTCATTTACAAATGAGTAATTTTGAAATAGTTATCATTTTGTACTCAGTAATTGTCCTCCTATGGGTGAGAGGCATGTGTCGTTTCTATTATCTCTTAACTGCACAATGCAGTAAGGGAAGAAGAGTAAAAAGCTCTTACCATATGAGTCCTCGCTTATCTTCCATTAGGAGTGGGCACTAAAAGCTACTTCTCCCTTCTGAATGGCTTCTTCACTAATAATAATGTGCAGCTTCTATACAGAAATGCCTTATGCAACAAAGATGATGTTTTAAAGAGTGCATACCTCTCCTTCTGTAGCTCTCACATTTTCCTGCAATGAACGGCAATATTTAACGTAGCTTCAAACGTATATATACGTTTTCAAAAATAGCTTTATCCTCCTTATTATAAATGAGCTATTTTTATGGAAGGAACTTCAAAACACACTTCAAGGTTCAGGGCAGGAAAGTATTATGCTTAATCAAAAAATATATTTGAATGCCATGAACACACTATATATCTTCTAAATAGCATTATATATATTTTAGGTTATACATCTCATATATTTTTTTAGAACTCAACTAAACCTGTCCAGAATTGGCTTTTGTTTTTCACAGATTTGTATTGATTTCCATTACAGCAGTCGCCTGCTTTATAGAAAGCCTATTACGAACGAACAAAGTACATTACAGCCTGAAAGCCTGAAGGTATATTATTTATTCTGCTACTGTGGTGCAGCAACAGACGAATGATCCATATTGATGGCGCTGCAGAAGTTTGGGACAGAAAAAAGGAAGTAAAAAAAACTACTGTTTTACTGGGCATTAATTCTGATTCTGGCCACATAAAAAGCTACCATTGGAGCAGGTAATTATGAACAGCTTATAGATACGATCTGTCTGATCAGATAACACTTGAGGTGTTGCCACAAAAATAGACAGAGATGCCAAGACACGTTCATTTTAAACTCCTATATAAGCATTTTTTTTATTTAGAAGTACTTTAGCTTCTGCAGTCATGTAATGATTAATTTGTTCTAAAAAATATGCCTGTAAGCATCATAAGTTCTCTGGAGTGAAAGTGCACTACTGCTGCTATAGACTAGCAATCAGAGACTTTTAAGCATGCTAATCTCTAAAAAACAAACAAATATCTAACGACAAAATAAACACATAATGGTTATAGGCATTTACAGATTTAAATAATGCAGATGTTAAGAAGAAAATGAAGCATCTGCTAAGATTTTTTTCTCTCAGATTTTAAATCCCCATTAGATAGACAACACATTTACATTTGGCTGCTAGGTTAAATTAAGAACATGAACACAAGTAAAGGTTTGTTCCATGCTGAAAAGAGAAGAAAAGAAACACAACGTTTTGGCTTGTTGTTTTAGCCATGCTACCAAAACCAAATTACAATACAAAAATCTCCACTTTTACTGTCTTTAGAAAAAAAGAAGAAAAGGCTAAACAATACCTGTAATGCCGAAATAATGAAGGAAAAGCATCTTACCGGAGTGAGAAACTTGTACGTCAAATGAGCATTTTCAGCTAGAACGTCTGCAGCCAGGTCAAAATACTAAAAAAGTATCAAAGCAAAATATGAATTCCTTTAAATAAAAAATCACATTTACACTGAGCTATGGGCCAGCTGTTGCCTCACAGCTCTTGAATCTTGGGTTCAAATCTAAACAGGGGAGACTGAATGTTCTTTCATTGCCACATGGGGTATCAGTCATAGCTCATGGCCAGAGTTCACTATAAAAGAGCAGCCTGGATAATGAAATCACTGTGTTGCGTTTTTCCCCTTCTGGGAAACTCGCTCATAATCGTTAATCGGGACCACCACGGTAGCCTGCGCTTGAGCGCTGCCGATGGCTTGGACACAGGGACAAGTCTAAGCCAACTCACTTCGTATTTGCAGTAGAGAAGTAGGAGGTTTCCAAATGTCACCGGGGGGAAGGGGTTCTGCTGGAGGAGGAACGCCAGCTTCTCGAAGCCCTCCGTGGGCCTGGAGTCCATGTTCATAAGAGCTTGATTATGAAGAGTCACCGGGTCAAGCTCCTGCAACAAAGTGATTGAAGATTTTGAGTGCTAGAATTAAAGATGCTTGTACTGCAGAGTCCCACCCCCCCCAACAAAGTATGAAGGGACACAGAAACAAGCAAAAAACTTGCACAATATACACAGAATACAAGGATGTACTTGTACATCAAGACCAACATAACAGTGGGAGCTGGAGTCAGTAACGGATCAGCTTGTCAAATACGAAATTAAACATAATTTCCATGGTTGGCACTCTTTCCTATTACTGTAAACAGTTTTTAGAATTAGTAATTGTTTCTAACAATTGTTTCTAATTAGTTTGTTACATCATGTACTGTAAATCGCACAATTTACACAGTAAACTGCACAATCACACAATTCAGAAAACGTTTTACTTAAGGTCCCAATTTTGTTTCTATTTCTAGTGAATTCAATAATCGGCCACCAGGAGGCAGCAGTTAACTTAATGCACAAGCTGCAGTATTTAAAATCTGTGATTTCTGATAAACTAGGACCAATATATCTGCAATTTATTTTAAGACAAATGAATGGCAGCACATTAAAAGATCTTTTCTCATAGTGTTCTAACTTCAAATGAATGACATAACCTGCAACACGGGATGGAGTGAAATGGGCATTTGAAACTATATTGCAACAAATGTCAAGGTAAATACAACCTATTCATAAGGCAACTATGTACCCTGCAGAGGTAATCACATAACAGTAATTCAATCATTCCCATGTAATGAGATGAACTTGCTTTATAGCTGTTGTGATTTAAAGTATAAGAGTGTCTACTAAAAACAAACGGTCATCCTTAGAGGTATTTATTTACATTTGCTCATGCTCATGAGTTACAAAATTTAATTTATTGCTAAGAGTTAACTTTACAGACAACAGAAGAACGTGGGTGTAGTCTTATGTAATTCTAAAAGCTCAATACAGATGAAAACCACTCTCTTTTAGAAGAGTTCGGATTTTTTAAATTTGCTTTTGTAATTTTTTTCTATCAACCTCTCACTCTATTCCCTTCAGCTGAATTTAAATATTGTAAAAACATGCGGGCAAGCCCTAAAGAAAGCAAATAAAAATTATTTCATATAATATAGTTCAAATTGTAAATTGTACAAATCACCAATAGGTTCTCATTTATATTACTTTGTACAATTCGGTCACCAAGTTACAAAAAAAAAACATGCTGCACCTTTAGAATCAGTCCAGGCTCAAAGGAAAGTCCTACTCTGACAAGCTGAAAGAACTGAACTTTTTTAGTCCTGAACAGAGAAAACTATGAGTGCTCCGATTCAAGTATTCAAAATTCTTAAAAAAGTCAGCAGTGAAACACGAAGCTGTGGAAACTATGTGAAAGTGCATTTAAAATTCAGAGCAAGAGGCACTTTTCTATGCAAGGGTTGTGGGAAAATTGACCTACAGTACCAGGGCATCTTGTTAAAGCTGATATCATGACTTCTTTTAAAAAATGACTCATGAATTGCTCCGTTCAATTAGCAACTACCAAATGGGCAAGATGGGTGAAGTGAACTCCTTATCTTTATAAACATTCTTATACAAGTGATGACATTTTAATGAAAACAGAATTACAACATCTCTTCTCCACTTTTCACTAGAATGCAAACATTACAATGGCAGCCAAAACGATTCTAGCATCCTAGGAAGAAAACTTCATGGTACGACTCTTCTCTGAACCTCGAAATCAGATTCATTCTCAATACTGACCTATTAATCTTACTCGCATTCATTTTAAAGCAGCAACAGACATTATTCTGTATTTTTATGACTTTTACAGATGTGACCTAAAAGGTCAGGATAACTGTAAAAACACATTTTCTGAAGGCAGGTTTGGAAATTAACCTGGAATGCCCTTTTGAAAGCAGACTGCTCATTTTTTTGCTGCTGCTAATGTGAGTTTTTTTTTATCTGTCACAGTTCTTCCTAACTGTTTTTTTAATCAGAGCTCATAAAAGCCTTCCCTGCAAGATAAGAAGTTAAATGAAACAGTCTGGTGAGGAGTAATGTGTCTTTTAGGAAGTCAGTTGATTACATTTAGACATGTTCCTACATCCCTGTATCACTCCTCATCTTAACAGCAGGTTTGATCTGCCTTTCTGAATACACATGAGCCAAATTCAATGGTGGAAATAAAGAGGCTCATTATTTAAAACTTTGTTGATGGGATTTTTACAATCTCCAAATGTGTCAAAAGGCGGAAGGACATTCACAACCTGACAAGGAAACAACAAAGAATACCTAGTTACAAAGAATGAGATAACCCCAAGGAGCAAATAAGTATTTTAAAAAACTCAAAACTCATTAAACAAGAACATGCTAGTCTGGAGTAATGTCACTATAAAGAAAAGCTTTTTAAGTGTTATTTTTTTCCTGATCAGGGTAAAGATGACTAGAACGATCTGAATTGTTGGAGTAAACCCACAGCTATACTATTAAGGTTGAGAACTGAATGCAGCCAAGTGTCTAAACAAAAAGCAGTGATGAGCATGACTGTGCTGATTCAGGTTAGTGCAACAAAAAAATAATTGGGAGAGGTGCCAGTGGAAAAACATAAAAGTGCTTCATCAGCTGTTTCTTTTCTCTCTTTAACTTCTTTTATATCAACTGAAATCAACCAGGTGAGAGTGGAAAATTACCAAATGGCATGAACACAATTCTGTTGATAAAATTCCCGCCTGCACTTGCATACAATGTTGATCAAATACAATTTTCCTGTAGGGAAAAGAATCTCCTGTTAAACAACATAAGACTATCTGGATTTTAAATCCAAACTTGGACGAGACATTTCAATTTCTACAAATGTGGCAACGTTATTTAGCAGAGAGATGGGTGCACAACTCGTCTGCCTACCTCCTCCGATCGTGGGGGCATGTCAGTCAGGGCCTCCTGGGCAGCATCATCTGAAGCAATTGCAAATTTGAAAAAAGGTGTTAAAATACAGTGCGAGTCTGTAATCTCAAACAACTTAATCCATGCTTTATTTTCTGAAATAATGAATATATTGACCGTCGCATAACAATGTCCTTGGTATGTTGTTGTAAGTCAGCTTGCAAAACTGCTTATTAAGAATATCAGTATACACCAATAAGAATTTCTTTCATTTGTGGTAGAATTTAGAGTACAGCTATAACGTTTCTGTCCCATTAAACAAAAGAAGAAACAGTGGCACGCACAAGCAAACAAGGATAATGCATTCAGTAGGCCTTCTATCAATCCGACCCTTGGTATTATTATATTTAATGAGAATTTATGAATGATAAAGATGAGTAAGAAAAGTTAACGTCATACATTTTTCAGATTGGATTAATATCTGCAGTGAATGGCATTAATTTCAGTTTGGCTCATGGTGTGCCTTGCATGAAGGAAAATGAACAAAATGTCTGAATCAATGGGACAATAGCTACTTTTCTGAATTTTAAAGCATGTCTCCAAGGCTCTTATCTATCTTAGGTCATCTAGTTTTCTGAAGCTGAGACGAGTGATCTGAAGAATACAGAGAATTTTCAATTTCTTTTCCCTCCCTGTGGAAATCTGAAGAAGAAAAAAAGACTACACTGGGAAACTTTAATTAAAGTTTAAGCTACCTGCTATTGACAGCTCCTTGTTGAGTTTATGGTTTTGTTTTACTTGTTTTATATTTTACAAGAGATTAAGCTGTTCATTTGGAAAATAAATATTTTAACAAATAAAGGTCTAATCACAGGATATACATGAGCGCTTGGACAGCAAAGATGATAAATTGATTTAGTTCACAGATGTTATCAACAAGTCACAATATGAATTAAATAACTATAAGAGAGCACCGGCAGAAAACTTTAGATAAGATGTGTGGTGTGACAGTGATGGATCAAGAAGGTTTTCAGAACCAGCGCACTGTGACAGCAGTTAATGCATTTGGAAAGCAGAGGAAGCGTGGCGACCGTGGAGAGAAGGAAACCCTGACACCAGTACTGCGAACTTACGAGTACAAAGACAAGTTCAGAACATGGCAGAAGCAGGACAAGCACAAACATTGCGGCTTTAATTCAAATATACAGAGCATCAAAAGAAACACTGTCATTTATGCACGGATGTCTTTACAATAATAAAGTTTGGGCTTTTAGATATTGATTAAATGTTTTTGGCATCATTTTGATGAATTGGTCATTCGTGACTGACTGAGATGCACCTGAGTGGCTCTAACAGTTGCATGCGCACTAAATCGCCTCATTAATAAGAGAGAAGTAAGGGCACAGAAGACTCTATTAGTTATAAAGACATAGCCACAAGTAGAAGGTATTTCTTAAAGGGAAGGGGACTTTCAGCTGCCATGCTTCTGCATGTACTCTGTGAGCTGTCTGATGTACGTACAGTTTTTCAGCTGGTATTCAATGGCTGCCTTCAGATTGAACACCTCGATGAGCGCCGTTTCATGCAGCACGAGTGTATTGCCCACACTTCTCACGTCGATACCTTCCGTTGTCATGCCAACGCTAAGCTCTGAAAGCATCGGAAAGACCATACCATAAGCAACACTTACTTTTCAGGGAGGGTGGGGGAGAGAAAAGTTTTTTTTAAAAATAAAAACCTGCATTATCCATCGCAGTGTGATAACAGCTTTCAGGTATAGGGGTTTATAAAAGGAGCTGTTTTATAGGTTGCACCTTTTTCAACTGATTTTGTGTTGAGATGATCGGTGAAAAAAATAAGACTTATTTTTTCCTGAAGCACTCAGTCATTGACATAGCATGCCACATTCCACACATGTTGATTCCTAAAATCATTGCTGCATGAATTGATTAATCCTAATAAAGGCATGGCTTTGTCTGGAATGTATTACAGTGCTGATTGGGGCGTTTCAGTGTTAACTGCTAGATTTTAGACTGATTGGTCTTGCCTAACATGTCTGCTAAGGCCCACTGATTCTGTAATCATTATTATTCACATTCAGGACTGATCAAATTAAAAACAATGCTGCAATGGTAATTTCAATTATTTAATCAGTGGCAAGTTGTATCTATCTTAATTCATATTGCTCGCAAATAGAACTAAAAATAATGACGCTGTAAATATTTTTAATAAAAAAAAACAAACTCCTGCACAGCACATAATGTACCCTGATCCAACAACAGGAAATCAAAACATATCCCTCGGAGAACTCCAATGTTCTACACATGACATGGAAAATTTTGCATTCTGACTTTCTGACTGATTGCTTCAAATATACATTTTTAAACTTCAGATGCATTACCATGCGTACAACCTGTTGTGTTTCCTTAGAGTATTGCCGCGCTAAATCATTATGTTCAAAAGTGAAATCAAAACAGTAATTGGACGTATGTCTTCAGTTTGGGGCTGCCATGGTATGGGGCAATTCTTATCTCACTTCACAGTTAATAAAGGACATTGGGATTATTAATAGGGTATCATAGCCCCCCACAGAAAATAAACCAATCATACATTTTTGACTGTAAGGAACTAAAGTGAAAGCAATTAAAGTAACCTAGAATCACAATGGTATGTTACTTACCTGGGTGCTCCCTGATGCCACGCTCTATAATGTCTGCAATGTATTTCAACGCCGGGGCGTACTGCTTCATACTGTAGTAACAAAGTGCTATGTTGTACGATAGATCTGATGAATGAAAAAGGAATAGAAGAAGTAGGATTAAGGCAGTGGCCATGTCAATAATAGCTTAAAATCTAAATCAGTACTTTAGGATTACATCACAGACCACATTGCTGAAGGTCATGAGGTTTGCACTCTGCAGCCAAACCCCAAAAAGCAGAATTAATACCCTGCATTTTGCAAGATCAACAGTAACTTTCAAATGACATACTTATATTTTATAGTTTTCATTGCTATAACCACTTGGGAAGTTTTGCATTTATCTTAGGCGCACTTGCATAATAACTCTTTAGTGCTACGTTTAGAGCAGAAAGATTATATTTTAGGTGCTGAAAACTGTTGACAAGAAAAGTTCTGTTGAAAGTAGAAAATGATCATAGATCACCTGGTTGATAACCGATCACCTGCATTGCGTTTATGAACTTTTTGGAGGCTTGGTCATACTCCCCTTCCTTATAGAGTAAACAGCCAAGATTGACTTCATAGTCTGGGTCGCTGGAAGGCAGCTGCTCCACCAGGCTCTGAGAGATGAGGAGATTATTTATTTTAGCCAAACAGCAAAAGGCCAAGCATGCCAGTCCTTAGTCAAAAACAGATTATATGGCTTTATACAAAACATCTACACCTGTTTTAATTGTAGGAAAACAGAATACACAAAGAAGTACCATAAATATAAAGGGAGCTTTACTCCTACAAAACGTTTGCTTTGAGAAAGTACTTTGAGAGGTACCTTGAGAAAACAATAACTGACTTGTGCATTCAGAAAATCAAATGTTTCGAAATTCAACTTCCATCACTTTCTCAGTTACTGAATAATACCATAAAGTTCTGATAAAACTTTAAAATGATGTCAATTTTCCACACAGACTTAGATTGATTTACAGGATACCAGAGTTTCACAATCCTCTCCATCTGATGACCACAAATCCAACTGAGGCCTTAATTAATGAATCCTATTGAACCCCTAACTGAAGAAACTTCCTGTTCTTTTGACCTATTTCTGCACTGAGATCACAGTTTCAGAAATAATCTCCTTTAGGTATATTATTTCCATTTCAACATCTGAAAATAATGAATAATGAATAAGCTTAATTAAGGACGATCAACTGGAATGAAAACCTGCGGACACTGGGATTAGGGTTAGAACCTGAATCAGGTTTGGGAAACAGTGGTATGGACCAAATACGAAAGGTTTGTAATGTCTGCCAGAGTCCAACAGTAAATTTGGTCTTCTGATCCATCAAATTTGCAGATGTCTTCTTCTCTTTAATTATTTTACCTTTGCACCAGATAAATCTTCTTCTCCATATTTGATAGCAGCTTGCAGCTTTAGCATCTGTTGGAAAACCAGAAAAAGTGTGATGTCTTTATCTGCTTTGCATAGCGTGATTACTCTTTAATTGGTTAAAACTTACAAAGATTCATGATTTACATGATCTGGACCACTTAACCACTTAGAAAAGAGGTAAATATGAATAGTCATTGCTTGTTTTGAGACAATTAACAATATTTGTATGGTTCTTCTTACAAAAAATCTGAAACTCTTCTTTATCGCTGTCTCCCACTGGTATCTCTTTACCTTAATCTGATTCCCTGGGCTGTCCAGCAGGAATGTGGCTTTCATGGCCTCTGGGAAGGCACAGGCCTTGTAGAGGGACTGGGCGTAGTACAGCTTGTATTCCTCCACTTCAGGGTGGAGCTGGGTCAGTTGCTCATAACATTCGGCGGCATTGGTGAAGTCTTGAATACGATAGTAGCAATAGCCCAAGAGAGACAGGGCTGCTCTGGACTGAGAGGCAGATAGGGAGAGAAAGGAGTAAATAATACAGCTACTACAACACTGAAATAAAAGAGCTCCCTGTGACAATTTTCTTAACAGCTTGCTGAGATAATCCACTATAAATGCAATGACAGGCTTATGTTTGAGAAGCTGAGGCCCTATCCATTGAGATGTCAATCTTAGAGAAAGACAGCTCTTCCAATCTGCTATCATTTTAGATCTTATATTCTTGAAATAACTCAATCCAAGTTAACCTAGGAAAAATACCGTGCCACAGACACTAAAGATAAAGCCTAAATGTCTACCAAATAAGTACATCCAACTTTAGACATAATGGCTGACTGGCTCCAGACCTAACCTACGTGGTTAGACTGAAAATACTTGGTAAGCAGACATTAGGAAATATGGCAGGCCAAATCCGAAATAACAACAACTTTAAAAGCCAATCTACTGGTGCAGAAGAGCGGTTTTGGCGAGGCAAGAAAACAAGGAAAAAAGTTTATGTTGGAATATAAAACATATTGCACAGTACCCAGTGATCGATCTTAAGTCATGGGACTCGAGAGAATCAACAGATATGTTTGTGATACTTGGAAAAGCCACTAAATGTTTAATAAAAGATGTCATTTTCTGAGGCTGACACTTCAGAAGTTCAAACTACTCCTTCAACTATTCCAACCAATACTCCTGTGGATTTCTGACTGCTTTTGACAACCGGTTTCCACAAAGTTAACTATGTTATTTTTCAAGACCAGGGACTTCCGTGCTTTAGGAGGGTTCACGTGAGGGTGCAAATCATTGATGACATAAACGAAATGCCTTGGATACCATATGAAATTGAAAAATTACATCTTAAATAAATGGGTAACAGGATTTCAAAGAGTTATAATTACATTACGATACTATTTGACAGTAGAAAAGAGTGAAAGTTATTTTATATGCACTGCAACATATATATCGGCAAGAAATGTGTCAATTTAAAGAACAAACGTGTTCAATGTGTTTTTAAAAATTGTTGAAATCCCCATAATGAGGTTCTTTTTGTTTTTTCCAATACAATTTCTGATTAAAATGGAAAAGGGAGTTCTTCAAGCTGCAGGACCCACAGACTGCAGGATCTCTGACCCAGGTGAATAAGCTTGGAGGTGATGAAGCTACAAGGTCTGTGTCTGAGAGTCCTAAGCAGGAACCAGCATGCTGCGGTTTTCCAAAGAGAGCTCTTTAAGGTTTACTTCTAAATGAAAGAGCTCTATACGCCTTTCTTGTTTTTCAAAAAATACAGATTTCATGTCCAAAAAAAAAGATTTGACCAGAAGAAAGAAAAATCACTGCAGTTTTACCTTATAATTTTCTCAGCAATGTAACAACAGAGGAAACATCACACGAGCTGCCCAAACTGGATATTTACTTACAAGAAACCAACACTTTAGAATAAACTGGACACAAAAGACACACTAGAGATTCATGATCTACAACAAAATCTTTAAAGATACCAGTGACTCTGCTTTCTTGCCTTACAGAGTCTTGCACACAGTTCAAGTGGAAACCGATGTAGATGCCAACATGACGATGATACTAATTTTAACAAAGTGCTTTAATTTTGAACTGCACTGCTGTGTGTGGGAAGGACGAAGTAAATATACTGTAAAATGAAGTCAGATACCATGCAATCACATATTGATAGGGGTTTAGCTTCACTGAGGTCATGCAGTTTACAGACCAATTTCTCTTCATAGAAGAGGTTTTAATTGTAACTATAGGAGTTTTAAGAGGATTACACAGAAAGACCCATATAGTAAAGAAGTTAATTTCATTCGACAACAATCCACCTTCATTTCTTCACAGAAAAGTATTCTGTCTTATGTCTGGGGGGAAAAAAAAGCTATAAGACTTAGCTAATTCCCTCAAACAGTGCAGATCTTTGCTGGACTTTTCAGGGAATTAAATTTTTAAGGGATTCATTAGGGTTCTTTAACCTTCAGTAATGCGGTGTTATGGGACTTCCAAATTTGGAAAAAAAAGAGGTATTTGTTTGCATCAAAAACGTTTTCTTTCTGCATCGTCTGTGAAGGAATGAAAAGTCTACGGAAGGACCGAAAAAAGGGAACTAAGACAAGGATAAAAGTATACGTTACACTAAATCTTACTTTAAGCTGTTTCTGCAGTTCATTACTTAGGATGTGGATAGCGTCTCCGTATCTCCCATCTCTAATCTGTGAAAACAACAATACTTCGTTTACACGATCCGTGGAGGTCAAGGGGCAAAAAATCCAAACTAGCCCCAGTTTCAGAAACCACAAACACGAATGACAGTCTCTTATAGCTACATATGTATCTTTCTCAGCCTTGTCATTCACCATATTACTATTCAAATCATACACTGTATCATCAGTGGTCATGATCGTAAAATAAAATGCGTCCTTGCACCTGGTAGCCATTTGAGCAAAAATAGAAGCAGAAGTATTATTTACACAAAGCATAATTGGATATTGCACTGTGCGATTTCGTTTCTGGAGTTAATTGGTGCTTTTTAGAAACTTACCATTTTGTAGATTGTGGCTGTATATTCGCCATCCTTAATCGGAGTCAGTGTCATATTTCCTTTAGCACGAGCTCAGAAAACGTACCTCGGGGTATTCGTTTTTTAATCTAAAAAAAAAACGTGATTAGGAACTGCCGTTTTTAATCATTCATCCTTTCCTAAAACCACATTTCTTTCTCAGACCGTTTGTGTATGTTTTTGCAGCAAGACACCGCTTGATGGACGTTTCCTGGCAACCGAACCGGAAAAGGAAGTTAATAATTCAACCAATCTGCTGAGTAGGACGGAGAAGCCATATTGGTGCGGTGTAACTTAATACTAAACCATTATACGTTGAGGAACAGATTTATTTTGTTTGTTCGGAGGCTTACTATATCATATTGAGTGGAAAAATAAGTAAAGTTATAAAATATTTATCTTTGTCACATGTTGAAAAGCAGTGATATGCGTTTGCAATAAATCCCTTTTGAAAAAGTCCTGTACTACTACTATCACACAAAACATAGCTCATTATTACATATGCGTTTTCTTAGTAGTGTTGTGGTGATGATTTCGTTGTACTTTTCCTGTTGTAATATTCCTGCTGTATCTAGCTTGTGATGATCAAGTCCAAAAAATCTTTGATATGTATTAAAAACCCGATTTTCTAATGGATGTGCTGGTATACCCCTCCTGTCCATTTTGCACTGAAAACATGAAGTACATGAAGTCATGTGTAAAGCAACATTAGTATAGATCTTAAATGATTCACTTATTCATATTAGATCAAATGTCAATTACAGCTGTTGGGAAACTTAGAAACTTACAGTTTTGCTCTGTTCTTACAGTAGTTGGTTATCTGACACAAAATGGTACCCTGAAGATATAAATTAGGAAACTTTCTCTAGCCTGAAGGAAGTCAGTTGTGAGACAAGGCATTGGATCTGAGAAATCTTTTAGGCTGCTGTCCACACTGCTAACTGGAAAGTTTAAGGACATTCTTATGTGTTGTTTTATGGTATCGAGAGAGTCTGCTTGAGAACCTATAGAATTATAGGTGAATTGATGAATAATGTCAAGCTGAAATATGAGCCTTACAATTGAAAGGCACACTGATTCTCAGACCAGCTGGGACAGAGTTTGTAGACTATTGGTTTCTCTCTAATTTGCTAACCAAGTAATGTCCCTTTATCCTGTACTGAATAAAATGTTCAAACATGCTTAGAACTGATGTTCGTTATCGGCAATGGCAGTCTGCCTTTCTGGATAATCTGTAAGAAAGTCTGTGAATTAAACAGACATGTCTTATTTGAACTTTCAGACATGTTCAGTGATAACTACTCAAAAAGCTTGTAAAAAAAGAGCAATTGTGTTTGGAAAACTCACTGTGCCTTACACACAAAGAGTTAATTCTGAAGGATATATTAACATTTATTTGACTTCAGGCAATCCTTTTATTTGGTATACTTTTCCATATCATAGCGTGTCTACCAGTTAAAACTTGTTTTTGGAATATTTGCTCATGTGATTCGTGAAGCAGGCTGATGTTCTTGTCATGGACTGCACACTTCTCTGAAGCATGTGCAGCATGGTATTGATCCAGTGATAAACGCTGGAGTTGATTAGAGGTTTTTTTTTTACAAAGGTCTGACAGGCAAACTGGGCTATGACCCATGGTCAGTGCTGCTCTGCTATCCAGTGTTTCATTAAAATCTTTGGGTAGAAATGTTCATGAATGTCATATCATATCTTCTCCAGAACAGCCCTTCATTTAGTGCAACAGGAGCATTCAGCATTTTAAAGGAAAGAACAAATCTTTTAGATTTGCCCCTTACTAAATAGAACCAACAGAAATCCCATTCAGGAAATCTCATGAGTATTCCTCAGGATTTCAATTAACTCCTTTAGGAAATGACTTGGAAGCTGAGAAACAACTTTAAGATACTGGCCGGCCTTGAGATACATGAACAGTGAATTTCTGAGTGTGTCCCCCCCTTTAAAAGCACAGCACACAGCGTGGACTGTACCTTCTGAAACACAAGCCTGTATCAGTAGACAGAAATATATCTTTAAATTGCACAGCAGTATTTACAGGAAGATGGGAGTCAGAAGAAAAACTTGGATGGAGAATAGCAGCTGCGTACAAAGTTGGATAATGTTCACGGGACACATGTGTCTGCTATTAAGAGCTCTGTCGACGTGGCACCAGGGAGCAGCCCTCTTTCTGTATCGTCACTGGAAACAATATCCTGCACAAGAGGAACACTCAACAGGAAACTGAAGGATACAACTCTCTTGTTTGCATTTGTTATATATTAAAAACACAGAAGGTGGGGAGCAAGGAGAGAAGCTGTTTGAATTTCAAATGTGAAAGCTTTAAAAGTTTTGACAGTCCAGTTAGCACAGGGTGGCTTTAACCACTTAGATCTGGGTGTCTTTTCTCGGGCACATCAGGAGGATAGTGATGTGGCATAGCTGGAGATGAGAAAATACTAGAATCATTCTTTCAAAGTCCCTGAACTGAATGCAGGCATAGTTTTAAAGGGAGATGTTTGGACATGCTATATGACTATATGAAAATCACACCACCTCCGAGAGTTTAATCTAGTTCAGGACACGTTGGTTCAAACACAAATGTTTGGCAGCCAATTCATTAAGTGAGGCAGATATCAAAATCAAATATTATGATTTTAGCACGTGGTTTGAACACTGTGGAGTCTTTCACAGGTGAGAATGTCCTTTACCTTAGGAGACAGCTGTGTACATAACTGTGCCTGTGTTCCTTTGCTTTGCAACAGAGAGCACAGTTTTTTTCCAAACAACAGATTTCCTACTCCTCAGAAATGCAAATGAGAAGAATGGTGTAAAGAAAACAAATGCCACTTAAAGAAGAACTGAAAGGCCCAATAATGTCTGAGTGCGATCCCAGTTCTTGGGAACAGCACATGCTCCTCGTTCTGATATTTCCAATCAGCAGCCTTAATGAAGGCTGAGGACAGCAAACACATGTAGGACTCAGGTGGGTGAGCTTCACTTTGTTCCAGTCAGAAACAGTTCTGGCCAAATGTTCACAGTTTGTTTCAGTAAAAGTCCCAACAGGGGACCAGACAGTTTTCTTTAGAAGTACAGTTTTCATTCCAGGAAACCCTCCTAAAGATCGCCTGGAGGCAACTTCTTAATTAATCAACCAATAAAGCAGTTTTGGGAAACTTATAAGGGTTCGGCTGGAGCCATTCTTTTTTATACAGTTGAAGTTTCATGCACAACAAAAATGTGATTTGGGACTAGACCATGTCACCACAGGCTCCTAGTGCCTCTGCTCAGAGTTCCCATTAACTCCAGGAATACTTCCTCCATTTTGACCTTTGCTCTTTTTCACTATTTTTTTCCCATCCTTTATGAGTTGAGCAGTTCTCTGCTGTTTCTGTGTGCCCCTGCTGTTCCTTGCTGTGGCCTCTAAACTACCCACATTACCAAAGATGACTAGTGAAAGGATTTCTCAGTGTCTAAACTGTGAAAGCAAATGGAAGAAACAATTCATATCAGACCCATCTGGACCCATCACATCACCGAGCACATGAGGAAGACCATGTGGCAGCAGGAAGACCATGCTTCTCAGGATATTGTTTCTTCAGGACTTTCATGATGTTAGTGGTGCTAGAAAGCTTCAGATGTCAAATAAACAGCCAGACATGAAGCCTGTAACACGTGACAACCACTGCAGTACATCTGCACCATGTCTTTGTCATTTCCATGTCAGATGGAGCAGGAATCCAGAGATGGGGTAAAAGAGGACACACGTGTCAAAGTGCATTTTGTGGAAGGTCTCGAATTGCAGAACAGAGGGAAATGCCATGCAAAATCATTGTCTTGCACCATTACCTTCCACTACTTTTCACCAGGGTGTCTGGCTTGCCATAGCGCCCCCCAGAGGAAACCCATGTTTATTGCCTGGTATCAATGTGGTTAGGATGAATGAGTTCCATTGGTCAGAAAGCACAACTCAAAATATGGAGAAACCTGCCGGGAGAGGTTCTATTGTTGAGCTTCTTCACAGTTCAAATAAACTTCAAATCACGCAGACATTGCGCAGGCCTTCAGGAAAACACCATACCTGGGGGGATGAAATGTTCCTGCAATTCAAGCACCCTGCCTTGCCCTAGCAAGAAAGATACAGTATGTGCGTGAGTGCATCAGCCAGTGTGTGTGGAGGTGGGTGTGTCGGAGCGGGCTGTGCTGAAACATGTGTGGGTCTGTCCCTCTCATCAGGGAACGGTGAGGAGCAGCACAGCCTAGCAGTGCAGTTTTGAAGTGCTGTAGAAGTGCAGCCAGAATTCTCTCCAGTCAAAACCCAGGTAAGTGATTGGGATTTCATTGCCTCCCTCTCATGCTAAATTAGGCACCAGACTCCTGAATAGAACCACTGGTTCTGCATTGGTTTGCACAGTGTCAGCAGAATGCTGAAAGGCATTTTTGCTTTTGTCAAGTTTCTGTAACTCTTCGACAACAACAATAACTTTATATGGCTACATTAATGGTGTAAATGGAGTATTAATGGATATTTCTTCATGTTAACATTTTTTAATTGGCCTTATTTGGAAATAGAAATGCAGCAAAAGTTCTGCCTGGGGTAAAATACTGTGTTTTAAAAAATGAAATCCTAAAATGTACTTATTATGTAAACCCCTTAGGAGAAGAGGCAATACTCTGCAGAGTTACAAACAGACTCAGAGTTATTGTTGATTAGCGGGGTGCATTGTTTTTTCCAGGGCTTGGGACTCCGAAGTTCTGTATTTCATGTTGATTTTTACTGTGTGATGTCAATGACCACACGATGTCACATGTCAGAAAACCCAACTGTTTTCATTTCAGCTCTCCTCTGCCTGCTGTGTGTTTATACCATGCAAACAGCAAAATAATCTTAGCATCAGAAAGACATGCAGATGATGCAATTAGATTCATGAATACATTTCATTTTTCCTGTGTGCTTAAGAAATATAGATGCTTTTAAACACACCCAGTTAAATCTCTTCTACATATGTTGTGTATGCATTTCCAATTACAGATTAAATATCACTCTCGGTCTTTCCCCTTTTTCTCAAGAGCAGTTTTTCCATTTGAGCCCCTACAGTTCTCCCAGCGTGGGTGTGGTGCTCACAATGAGTCGATGAACGATTAACTCTTCACAAGGATGGGGGGTGACCTGACAGACTTGATGAATTCCATAAAAAGTAGGAACAGCACAATCCAAAAAGCTT